TATATTCCTGTAGGAAGATAAATAAGGACGTAGGTGTGTCGTCGTATACTACTCACGCCGTCTTAACTCCGCTAAGTATAACTACCCGATTCATGATAAGGAGATACTAGCGATTATAGACTACCTATAGGCTTAGAAAGCCGAGCTTATAGGTAGCGGCCGGTTCTAGATTTACTCCGATTATAAAGTATTCGAATACTTTATAACTAAAAGGGCCCTAACCGAGCGCTAAAGTCGCTAAGTAACTAAGCTCGCCTAATACGACTTCGTGTTAGAGTATAAATAAGGGGCCGATAACGTCGCGGCTAACACGCTCTTACGTTAAGAGTAGGATATACTTAAGGATTCTTCCGACGTCCGAGAGCAGGGGAGGTATATCTAGATAATCCCTAATATAGCTATCGCCCCCCGGGTATACCTAGTAAGAGTAATATTACTAGAGCTAACTATAGTCTTTAAAGTAGACCCCGACCTATAACGACTATAGGATAAAGCTAGGGCTACCGATAAGCGCTATTAAGGTGGCCTTACCGCTATAATAGCGGGAGAACGGAGTTTTCCTCCCGAGCTAAAGCTTAAAATATAAATCGCTAAGTATAGAATCGACTAAGGTCGGCTAATATCTTATAACCGCCTATAGGTACTAGGGGATAACGAAGATAGGGTTAGCCACCCGTTACGAGGCCGTCTTATATAAGTAATCCACGACTTAGTAATCGGCGGATACCTAAGCAGGGATAATACTATCGCCCTAATCGCCCGCTAATTCTTTTAGCCCGGAATAAATTAAGATATTAGAAGATTCGTGCGGAATTACGATATATACTAAGCCAGCCATATATAAAGGGGCGCGAAGAGAGGACTACTACGCCTACTCCCTATACCGGAGCGAATCTTCTACGATATCGCGATAGACTTTATAACGGACTTACTACCTACCCGCGAGGGTAAGTATAGATACCTATAGGTAATCACCGACCGACTCTTAAAATCGGTAACGCTAAAAGCGATAGATACTATAGATACCGAAGCCTATACTAAACGATTCTTACTATACTATTATAGGTTCTATAGAATAACGAAGTTTGTTATTAGCGATAGGGTATCGAATTAGACTAGCCGCTTTTAGCAATACTTTTATAAACTCGCGGGTATTAAATAGCGACTAAGCACTATATACTACCCTTAGACGGACGGAGGTCCCGAACGTATTAACTAAAAAGTCTAAGCCTACCTATAGGCGTATATCTATTACGCCTAAGACGATTAGGACACGCTGCTACTAGTAGCGTAGCTAGCCCTAAATAACCGGGTAAATTCGATAATCTAAATAAGCCCGTTCTTCCTATAACACGGGTACTACACGAACCCTCTCTAAGTTAATAAGACCACGCCGACTAATAAGCGCGAGGCCTTTACGCAGGACTTACTAAGTCGCCTTAAGGAAGCTACCTAGTTCGTATAAGCCGCGATAGCCGCTATATAACTACGCTAAGAGGAGTCGGTAAATCGTCGGCGCTACCCTACTAAGAGGTTCGAAAAGGATAACCTTATATAATTAGATATCGGTAACTACTCCTCGCCACGGCCTTTAAAGAAACTTACCTAGCTCTACTATAAATATAAGGTTATAAAGGTCGTTAACTCCTATATTGTGGAACTAAATATCCCCTCATAGATCTATAACCGTTTCCACGTGGATCTCCTACGGTAAGTCGACTATAACCCCTTACTAGGGTAAACGATAATAGACCCCTAGCTACCACCTATTCGTAGAGGGCTAGATAGGGAGGAGGAATAGGTGGTAGAGGAAGTCCTTTACGCCCGTACCCGAAGGCGAGGTTATAGTAAGGTCCGGGAAGTGCTAGTATAATAGGAGGGTTACGTAGGACTAATATAGGAACCGCTTAAAAGCCTACGAGATATATAAGTACTCGAAGAATTCAAGAAGAAACACGGTCTGGTATAGTCGAATAACGGGCCTTTATAATAGTACACGAAGGAGACACGGACGCGAAAAAAGGCCGATATAGCGGCGAAGAGAGCGAGAACTAAGAGCGAGATTATATTAGGGTTATACCCCCGTACCACTTAACTTAGGAGTAGGGAAGAACCGGATAAACCCCTAAAAACGACACTAATAGCCTATTCCCCTACGATTTTACCCTCTTCTAGCTCCTCCTCTTATAAAGCCACGCCGTCCTTAGCGGCACCTACCTACGACTCCTCCTAAGGAGGAGCCGAGGCGAGCGTAGCCTTAGGAGTAGCCCCCGGATTATCCCTAGCGGCGAAGGGGGTCACGGCTACGTAGTGCTTATACATGCGGCGGATAGAGTAAGAGAGGTTACGAACCTCCTACGATATTATAGTAATATCGTTATTCCTATCCTCTATCTTTTACGATACCTCCTTAAGTGTCTTATCTATACTACGTATAAAGGAGGCGATATTATCGAGGACTCGTACTATACTTACCTAGAACTCGGTAGTAGCGGAAACTCGTAATACTTAGCGTCGGCCTTAGCCGCGCTAGGGCCTGACTAGTAATAATACTTAACGCTATACTCTTATTTATATTACCGGGTAGCATACTACGTATAGGGGGCTAGGCGGCAAGGGCCGGGCGGATTTTTAGGGACTTTACGCTTTTTAGGGGGGGGGTCGGAGTCTACTTAGTATTAGTTACCGCCGACCTTATAACCGATAACAACACGGGCGGAACTTATATCGTTATCACTACTACCCTTATAAGGGCGTTTACTAGGCGAGGCGTAGTTAGATATCTACTAATAGTTAGCTATAGCCCTAAACTAAGAGCGAGGAGCGGGTAAACTTATAGTAAGGAGAATATAGGCGGCCTAATAGATAAGCTATTACTTAGCGACGTTAGTTATACTATTAAGGGACCTGCGAGGTATCTCGGGGTAACTCACGGTGTAGAAAATTTAATTAAAAAAAAATAAGGAAACGTCTAAAAGGAAGCTATAGAAAGGGAAGAAAATAGGAAAAAATAAGGAATAGTAGGAGGTTTATTTTACTACCTTTCTACGCTATTCGGGTGGAAGGAATAACCCCCGATTATATATTCGGCAGGTATATCGTTTATAACGAGCACGCACGCCGGTAAGGGGCTCGCGACGACACCGCGATACGGGAACTCCTTTATGCTATTTTAGCCTTATAAGGATCTTAGCTGCTACGGACTACCTCCCTTCGAAGGAGCCTTTAATAGAATCGAATAAAGGAGGCTATTTTTAGATTACACGCGGGGAAGTTAGAGTAATACGAGGTCACGACTATACGACCACGACACGACCGCGACCTCGCCTCCGGCGGGGGGGGGGGTATATTACGGGCTATAGCCCGCAGAATAGTCCCCGGTAGTGGCCGGGACTAAGAAGTATAGACCCCCTAGCGAGCGAGGTCCGTGCGATTCCATATATACCTAGCCGCCTGTATACCGCGCAGGCTTTTCCCTTCCTCCTTTCCCTCCTTAGTTCGAATAATCTATATTTTCGGCCTTAATACGTGAACAACTTTTAATAAGCCGTTATAGCGGGATAGAAAACCAACCTATAACTTCTCCCTAATCTAATAAAGCGTAGCGTAATAGTTATACTCTACCCGTATTAAGCTAAGGTCGTAGTAATTAACCGTAATACCCGGCTAATACTACCCTAGCGGCGGCCCTCCTTATACCGGTTATCGTTTATATTATGCTAACTAGTAGTAATAGCACCCTAACGACTCGCCCTACTAGCACGATAGTCCTTATAGGTATTATAGGGAGTATTATTACGGCGCGTGTGAAAAGCGGATATTATAAGGTAACGGTAATAGCTCGAGTAATAATAACCCGGGGTGGACCGTAGAGCGTTACGCTATAGGTTACGGGTATAACGGCGGCGGCTATACGGGCGAGGAGGAGATATAAGAGGAGCTATAGAAATAGGGGGCGGAGGAGGGTTAGCTATTAGAACTAGTAGTAAAGGAGGTGTAAGGGGAGATAGTGGTAGAGGGTAGGCGGTTATAACGGTTAGAGGAGGCGCCGTAAAACCTATAGCTAATATATTAGGGGCGGCTCGACGCGAGTTTCGGTTAGCTAAATTTATAGCACGGCACGGTATATAGGTAGCGTAAACCCGGCGTACCCGCGGATAATACCTAAATTCAGAAAACGGCTTAACGATATAGTATTTACGGTAAGAGCGAGGCTCCGGAGTAGTAGGCTAGCTAATTATCTCGACGGCGCGTAATATAATAACCTTAACTCGAATAGCGGGAAAACTCTTATAGGCGCCGTAGATTAAAGGGAGGACGTGTAATAACAGTAAAAACGTCTAAAATACAGAAAATCCACACGGATCGCCCTTAATTAGGTACCTTAGGACTTACTGTGAAATATATATATTTCTAAAGTACCGAAATTTTTTAGGTTATACTGCTATATACTATAGGAGTAAGTCCCCCGAAAAACACCGTAAAATCCCGTAAAACGGGTTCGGGCGGTAATACTAGTACGAATAACGCAGGCTGCTAAGAGTGGTCGGAAAAAAAAGCGGGCTAGCGTTAGTGTAGACTTAGATAGTGGATAGAGAAGACGCCCGAAGGTTTGCCTTGCCAGCAGTACCGGTGGTATCTGCGTTGGATGGTGGGAACGAAGTGATGGAGGAAGAGGAATAAGCGTACTTATTTTCATGTATGGTTCATAAGGGAATCTTCTGAAATAGGAACCGAAAAAAGTGTCTCAGATCTTGGGTGTCTTGGGTGTAGATGAAGGGATGAAATGAAGGTGGGGTGGCGTGAAGGTGTGGTGAGGTTCGATAAATGAGACCTTCCCTTTGTATCACGACCTTTTACTTAAAACCTCACCAATTTACCAACTCCCCTCTTCACTCTTTCACCTCTTCAACATAATATTCACCATAAATCTATCACACTCTGAATACCCTCCCAAACACGCATCTCGCACCGATTCTCAAATTCTACCACGCATCGCCATGCCTCCCCCCCCGGACCTCTCCTCCTACATCCTCCCCCAAGAAACCTCCAATTCCATCTTCACCACCCAGATCCTCCCGGCCGAGTTCCCCCCCAACGTATCACCTTCCCCGCTGGTGCTCTCCCCAACCGACCCGAAACCACCCATAGCCGTGCTGATCGTCGGCCAAACCGGCGCCGGAAAGACCCGCCTCGCCCCCGCCGTCCTCACCGCGCTGACCTCCCTCCGTCGCCAACCTCCCGCCCACTTCATCGCCGACACCTACAAGACCTACCACCCAGCCTACCAATCCCTCACCTCCGACCCGGCCACCGCTCCCCTCGCCTCCCCCGCCACCGGCCCCGACGCCCGCCGCTGGCTCCGCCTCGCCGCCGCCCACGCCGCCCACCACCGCCTCGACGTCCTCCTCGAGAGCGCCTGCCGCCACCCGGACGACTTCGTCCACCTGGCCCGCCTCTTCCGCGACGCCCGCTACCGCCTCGACGTCCTCCTCCTCGCCGTGCCCCGCCCCCTGAGCCGCCTCGGCATCCTGACCCGTTTCCACGACCGCCTCCCCGAGGCCGGCAGCCGCGGCCTCCCCATCCGCCTCACCCCCCTCAAGGTCCACGACGATTCTTATGTTGGTCTCCTCGACGCCGCCCGCTGGATCGACGCCCACCCGGACTGCGTGGACCGCGTTTTCGTCGTCCGCAGGGGCAACCTCGTCGCCTTCTCCGATGACGCTGAGGCCCGGTCGGGCACCGGCCCGGGACCCCGCCTCCTGAGCGGTCGCGTCGTCGATGCGGTGCAGAGGGAGAGGGAACGGCCCCTGACCCCCGACGAAATCACCGTCGCTTCTGAGGACCTCGCTAGGCTGCAGGCTAGGGACGAGGCCCAGGCTTCCCAGATCAAGGAGCTCTTGGATCCTCTGCTCAAGCCGTCGGTCGACCCCGACGCCGCCGCCGTCTTTCCGGAGTTGAAACCCCTCCAGTTCCCTCCCGATGGGACGGACCCTGAAGCCACCTTCTTACTTGGGGCTACTTAATTGATTTCCCTTCTGTGCATACATTGTCGAGCTCCCTTCTGGCATCTCGCTAATCACGAAAAGTTGATGTGTCTGTCGGTGGACCGTTCAATGACAAATCTCGTTGTCGCTCCATCTACATTGCTGCTCCTAGGTTCCACTGGATGAGCAAATAATAAATAGCGGGATATACGGCCATATAGCGTCAAGCTTCTTGCAACTTCTCCTCTTCACCATGCCTCACCCATTACCGGCCCCTTAACTTGATATAAAGATAAAAAAACAACCATCGCAGCTTCATACTTTCCCCCCTGCCGAGCGATCAGTGTCCAAGACAAGAGACACCTTTCTGAGCCCCGAACCGTGGACGTAAACGGGACTGCCCCCAGCCGCGGTTGTCTTCACGTCCCATTTGGAATTGAACGGGCTGGACCTTAGATCTGACGTCGTTTTGGAAGTCGGTTTTTTCCTCCTTCTTCGTTCGTTTCAAGGGTGGTCCTTCCTCTGATTTCTGGCCATGACCATGCATCACAAAGGTCTCTGGAATCGACTGCAACTGCAGAGAACTGAAGAGCCCATGGCCAGCTGGTGAGCTTGACCGGGGTTTCTCTAGTTCTTCGTGATCGAGATACTTCGAGAGGAGGGTGATTTGGTTGCGTTGACCACTGGGAGCTCTCATTCTCGACTGGTTGGCCTTCTTTAGGTCACTCGAACTTACACCGAGACCCGCTGACGATGGTGTTGCGGGCCGCTTCGAGCATTCAAGTCGCTCTCCCGTAGTCTTCTTTAGCTTGCTAGAGACTTCCTGCTTCAATGAAGCCTTCGGAGAATGGCCGACGTTGCTCATATCAGGGATCGTCTCTACCATCGAGAACACCTTACGTGTAGAACTCCACGACGTTTCAATTCGATCTCGAAGCCTTTTCAACCGCTCGAGGTGCGCCTTAGCCCTGAACCATCCATGGTTCTCAGCCTGAGATGCCGTAAGCCTCTCGTCAGGGTTGATCTTGAGGCATTTTTTGAGAAATCTCTGCGCAGTTGCGGTTAGTTTCATGCCAGAATTACTACAAAGGCCATCGATTCGATCGTCGACTTGTTTCTGAACGAGTCCGTGAAATTGGCAGCGTTCCTGGCTGTCGACGATGAACAAGATCAGAATTCCAAGCGCCCACATGTCAACGGGGAACCCATGTTGAGCATCCGAGCCGTCGGTGGCCATCTCACTGCTAACATATCAGCCGAAAGAATCAGAGCAAAAACATCTACTCCCCAAGTGGCATACGGTGCAATGTACTGCTCTGTTCCCACGAGCGATTTGAGTCTCTGGCGTTGTAGCCCGGAATGGCCAAGGTCACTAAGGACGATGCGGTAGTCCGGAGTCGGGCGAATAGCAAACAAGACGTTCTCGGGCTTCAAGTCTCGGTGTACGACGCCAGCCTTGTGCAGGTAACTGACCCCATCGACAATTTGCCGCACGATCATCTTTAGGTCTCCTTCACGGATGGCCGGGCCATAAAGCAATCGACGCTGGACGAAAGAGAACAGGTCCCCGCCTGTAGCCAGCTCTGTAAAGCAGTATCTGGACCGGTCGCGTCAGACACAAAGTCGCTCACCGCGAGTGATATCGATTCCCAAGCATAAGCGGCGTCCGAACCGAACTTACAAGGTATGGGGGGACTGGGCAGCGTGGACATAGGAGATGATGTTAGGATGGTGAAGCTGGCGGAGGGTGTCAATTTCCTGCCGCAACCGTCTCAGCGTGCTCTGGGCATCACGTTTATGCCGGAGGGCGTCCATGTCCACAACTCGGCAAGCCGCCTGTCTAGCAGTGGCGGTTTCCACGGACAGGTAGACCTTAGCATGAGCTCCGTCGCCTATGGGCCGGTCAGTAATACGGTAGCGTTCTGCAAACGATGCCGCCTCTTTGCGCTGGAGAGGCTTTAAACTGAACGGCGGTCTCTCGGGAAGTTCTTGACAGAAGTAGAAAGTCAACTGTGGATGGCCGCCCCCGGCTTTTCTGTCGCCTTTCTTGCAGATGGGAACAGTAACAACGTCACCGTCTTGCAGACAGTGACCAGGGGTGATGGTGTCGTGTGCTCCCAGGAAGTGGCCGTTGACTCGGATTCCGTTCTGCGACTGTCTGTCGCGGACATAACAGAGAGCCGGGAGCTGCTCGTCGAAGTTGATCACGTAGAACTCAAGATGATCCGGGGACAAGCCCTGTAGACTGGGGTTTCGAGGACAACTACACCCGATTATAGATCGTCAGTTTGGTGGGGGAGAGCCAACGTGCCACTTAGCACCATAACTCACTCGCCTTGTCCGAACTTGAGGATCGAATTTGGGTACAGGGAAATGGTCTCTGAAGCGGAATATACCGTCAGCGGAGGACCTTCCATAAACCCGACCCCTGGACAGGAAGACCTCACCGAGCCCCGCGAGACCGCCGACTTGGACTTTGATGTGTGCCACAGGTTGGACCTCGACATCCACGGAATTTTCGCCCTCGAGAGCTGCCATAGCGACGAGAGAAGCCTAGTAACGACTTCCGGCGTCGGTTTATGAGTCTCAACGATATGAAAGCCCCAATAGGCACTGAGGGGACAAGAGGATTAGGGAGAAGGACGGGTGTAGGATATGGATTTCAGGGGTAAAGCCGCCAGCAATGGGTTGCAACTTGCACCGATGACGAGTTTCAACCTGAGTTTTGCAAAATTTATCAGTCTTTTCGTGGATTACAGAATACTTCATTGTATGTCCCTTAGACCCGTTAGAAAGCCTTCATGGACAGGGAAAGCACCTTCGATGCCTCCTTCCCTGCAGCAGGTCAACCTCTCCTTCCGATATACGAAGCACAGTGTATATGCACAGTGTCGGGACAGCAGAACAGCAGTTGTTGTGATGATACAAAGTACTTTCCATCGTGAGCTTGCCATGAGGTCACTGCGGGGGAATATGATCACAGTACTATCACGTGATGCCAAAGGGTTTTCTGCCCTACTTCCAATCGGCTCCAAACCCCAAAAGCAACTTCTGCGTAATCACTTAGCAATTTCACAAGCATCATCACCAACACCTCTCATCCAGAACAAACGAGTAAGTTGAGCTCCCCCATTCCACACAGAGCTGCGTATAGCTCATACAAAGGCAACCTGGGGATCATGGTGGACGGTTGAGCTTTGCGCGAGCTCAATTGCTCCGCTACGAACTCCCGTTGCCTTGATGACTGGCGTCTCAGTTCCCTTTGCTTCGCGACGTCATACATGAACGAGTCCAGCTAACCTCAACTCCCAGTCGTTCAAGATGAGAGCCAAGTGGAGAAAGAAGCGCGTTCGTCGCCTCAAGCGTAAGAGAAGAAAGATGCGCGCCCGCTCGTGAGTTTTCACCCCCGTCTCAGTTTTCCCCTGGTAGTGTCTTCACTCAGTTTTCTAACCTCCCCAATAGCAAGTAAACACCTCGCACATCATCTCGACCCGGGACTGCTCCTCGGCGGTGCCCACTCTCACAACGCCCTAATCGACAACTGGAACCGTGATCGCCGCCATCACACCCCGCCATGCCTACGACTTTTTCGACCCACCGCCTCTCAGTGGACACGGGGAGAAATGGGCCTGGCAGACGTTTGGCCGATCTGGGCGGGACATCGGTTTATGGAGCGGGCAAAGGACAAGCCATGCAACGGGTCGAGCTGTGGCAAGGAAAACTCCGTCATCGGCACACAGACCATGACGTTGAGACGAAGTGTTTATGGAATCAAGAGGCTCATGAAAAGAGGCATGCTGCTATGACCCCACGGAAGGAACGTGGCCATGATTTGGACCGGAATGGCAATGACAATGAGAAAAGGCAGTTTTGCTTCGACTACAAATGCAGCTTCGTCTGTTCATGAAACTTGTCCGAACATGATGTGATGTTATGAGTCTCTCACCGGGCACGTAGTTGCAGCAACCCCGATTTCGCAACCCAAAAGCCCCAAACCCGCACTTTTTGTATTTTCTTTTTCGCTTCCCCCATTTTTTCCTGTTCTGCCACCCCGCACTTTTGTCTATGAACTGGTGAACAGCAGCCACGAACCATTAGTCGCAGCTCATGCCACAGAAGTCTCGGTTTCAAAATACGAAGTCTAAATCAACGATTCCAGCCAGAATACATTCATTCACTTGGACGGTCAAGCTGGATACACAACTCCTTCTGGGGAGACGAATCATCACCGTATAGACACTAGGAGATGCGTATAGCGAATAAGACGCACGGCAGCCCATGCTTTCTCTATCATCTTCAACACCAGATCCAACTCCTATCTCTGTCCTTCGATCCCTCGATACTACACTTCCCTCCCAAGCCACCTAGTACAAACCGCTTAAGCAGTAGAAAGCGAGAATCCTCCCACCAAACGCCGCAAACGCCGCAAACGATTCGTCTTCGCTTGTTTGATCCCCCCAAATTTTTCCAAGGGAGATACGAAAAGACGCGAACCCTCTGTTAGAACAATGACACATGACCTTGCCCGAACAACCTAATGCACCAAACACGCACGTAGACACGCCTCACAGCCGTGCTCATCTCTTGGCCCCCCTGCCGGCCCTCAGCTTCCAATTCTCCTTAATCTCCTTAGCTGCAGCCTCCAGGTCTGCCTGCGTCACCCGGTCCTCGATGCTCTCGAGCACGCTGTTGACCGTAGAGATGTGGTTCGCCTCAGCCTTGTCGTCGCGGAACCGCAGCGGCCGCCACCGGCCCTGGTCATCCTTGTGGCACTCGACGATGCGGTCCACAAGCGGATCGCCCACGCGCTTGAGCGTCTCCCACTCCTCCTCGGTGACGTGCAGGTCCGCGAAGAACTGGTACCGCCCGTCCCCGAGGAAACTCCACAGCTCGGCCCGCGGCACGCTCTCGTAGTCGACGAACGGCTCGTCCACGCCGTCCCAGTCCCAGCCCTCCGTGCCCGGCTGTATGGTCGGGAAGTCCAGCCGTAGCCGCAGGTCGATCGTGTTCTCCTCGGGCGGCTTCCACTTGAGGATGTGGTCGTCCGTGCCGTGCCTGTACGTCGCCTGGACGCACGTGAAGATGAGCCCGTCGTTGCCGTGCTTGAGCTTCGGGAGCACCACGTTGAAGAGCATGTGGATGCCGTAGCTGAACTCCATCGTTTTCATCACCATGTCGAACGGCTGGAAGGCCCGCTCCTGTGGGAACTTTGTGAAGAGCTCCTTGTACGGCTTGATGACGCATTCCTTCACGTAGGCGATGCGTTTGTCGTAGCTCCGCTGCGTGAGGTCCTGGCCGTCGAGAACTAAGCAGTCGAAGACGAGGAAGCGTGGCACGCGCTTGCCATCCTCGTGGTCCATCACCAGCTCGCCGTCGATGATTGTCCGCGTATGGAAAGCCCGGACGTCTTCCTTGAGAGGGAAATGTGCGCTCGTGTTGTCCACGTGCCAGAAATCATTCTTGCGGTCAATTAGGTATACCGTCTCTCTTCCGTTGTTGTCTTCTGTCAGGTATAGTAGGTAGCGGATGCCGTCGGACTTCTCGCAAACGAAGTAGCTGTGGTGCAGGGGAGAAGTGAAAGAAACCCCATTCATTGTCAGCATCGTAATGACCAGGCTATGTTTATGGAACATGTGAAAATGATTGGGGGGCAGCTGAGGAACGCACTCTTTCTGCCGAAGTTCCTGAAGATGTCTTCGCGCAAAGCTGACAGGCTGCGCGCCGGGGAAGCTGGTCTGGTTACGATGAAGCAGGTTCGCAACTTCCCTCCTCAGTGGTGGAAGAAATTCTCGAGGCAGCCGAATGCCAGGCTCAGCGATATCCTGAATAGGCCCATCCCTTGGAACCTTGTCCTCTGGGCCGTCCATGGCGCTATGTTCGGGCTGCTTTGTGTGTGAAGGGGAAAGGCGGAGAAGTTGAATTGATTCGAGTCGCAAAAGGCAACGAATCCGAATCTTTGATCCAACGACGCAATGGGCTTATCTGCGTATCCTCTTATCCGGGAACCTGCTTATCTCGTATCGATAAGATCAACAAGCGACGTGCCTTAGGTAACTTACCTTATATAGGTACCTAGGACTCCGTAACTAAGGTAGCGGGGTAGCATGTTGCATGCAGCTGAAATATGTTATGGGTTGACTAGATCGAGCTCGGCTGGATCTAACAGTAGGGCACATTTTACTCAGAACGGACAGACAGATAGGAAACTGTTAAGGTCTTCAATGCGCTCATGGAGAGCTGAATATCAGTTAGACCTGATCAACACGGAGTAATAGCTGTAGCGCTTCTAGGCAAAACACCAACAGTCCCGCGCCACGGCCATCCCTGAACGTCCCTGAATTTGTACCACGAGCCAGGCTTATCATGCGCGGACTGCAATCACTAAAACTCTCATGGTGAGGACATATCGTTATTATCAAGGTCATCCGTCCACACGTAGTTTTGGCGTCGCCTCATGTAACGGGGCGGAGAGTCAACCCCCCCCCCCCCTCTCCCTTCCCACTGGTATAACATTCGGCAGTAGTAGCTTCCGAATCACTAATCGGCGAATTCCCAGTCGTCCGGCCTAGAGTAGTCGGGCTGCTTGGTCTGCTTCTCAGTTCCCTAGCTCTCATCGATCTTGGCTACTTCCGCTTTTGCTTCCTCCCAAGTCTCCTTGTTCTTCTTCGCCCACTCAATCTGACTCTTGGCATATGCGAGCTACACAAAAGAGTTAGTTTCATAGAGACGAGAGAAGCCAAACAGAAGCATAGCATGTGTGAATGTATCATACCATATAGCGCCGCAGATCCTCCTCCTTTTCGGCCTGAAACCGTTTCAGGTCGCTGAGGATGCTCTTGCTAGCCTCCCCAATGTCGCGTTCCGACACCACCTGGGCTTGATGTAATTGCTCGATGCCTTCTCGCGTCTTGCCAATCAAGTCGCGGCGAGTTCTCTCGGGATCAACATCGGCAACGCCTTGAATCGCATGACGGATCGGGCCAAATATCCTGTTCGTGATCGAGTTGCTGCTCTGGGCCTTCCTATGGCCTGGCGAAGAGCTGCTCTTCTGGGGGACTCCCTGGCCTGCTGAAGGTGCTGGTTCCCCGTGTGTTGGCGGGAAGTCTGAATCGATCGACGCCGTGTCATCGTTCTCCCTATTTGCACTCGGCGACTCCCGAAGGCTCGTCGACCGCTGCGGAGAGGGGCCCAGTTGCGTGGTTCCGCTCAGATACTGCTCGATTCTCTTAGCTTCCGCTTCGCTACGTTCCAGGTCCTCGAGGAGTGCCTTCTTCTTATAAAGTTCCTCGTTGGTCTGCTCTTGTTGCACCCGCTTCAGAACCCTGTACCGGAGGACGTTTCTGACGACTCCCGCAAATTGCGCGCTTTCACGCATGGGCTCGGCAAAGCTTGCCCCGAGGGACCCAGCAAGCTCCTCTGTCGCGATGTAGGACGAATCTGCTGCCTGCCCCATCCTCTCAATGGCCTGCCCCAAGGTAGGAGATGTCTCGGACAGTGCAAACGCGTTTAAGCGAGAACCTAATTCGCAAAGATCTGAGGCCAAATGTGACAGGTGGCTGAGCGTACGACGGTTCACCTTCTCCATGGGTCCCGTCAAGAGAGCCTCGAGCTCTTTGATGGAAGCCTCATAGGCAATGAAGTAGGGATCAAGATCTTGTTCGCTGAGAGTATGGCTTTCGGGCGGGAAACGGCCGAATACTTGGCCACCCTGGCCAGAAATGGCTGTCGCATCAACGTTTCCACCGCCGTTTGCCTTCAGCTTGGCTGAATTGGAAGGCACGGGGAGAAAGCTGTGGGCCGAAGTCGGGTTGGCAGGGTCCAACGGAGGCGCTTTCAACACCGACTTTGGAATGGAAGCCACCAGGTTAGAATTTAAAACCTCGCTCTAAAACACGGTCAGCACAAATCCCGGCGGTCACATGTCCAAGGAATTCGACCTCGTACCCAGCTAGCATTAGGATCAAGAAACCTCCACCACACCCCATCATTTCTGACGGCCTCCATGCGCCGGCACCGATTCAAGAAGACGGCCAACATCCGTTTCCGCAAATCTATTATCTGCTGGTCTTGCTTCGCATTTGTGGGGTTTGCAGCGTAGTCGGCCATGGTGTGCTTCTCGGGAATAGGAGGGATGATCAAGGTCGGATGCAGTCTGGTAAGGGCCTCTCTCAAAGAGGAAAATTCGGAGTACCGCCGACGGACTTCGAGGTTCTGTGACGAAACGTCAGTAACAGTAGCCCGTCAGTGGGAGGGGGGTTTGAAAGCCCAACATACACCGGTGCGAATGGTGTAGACGATGTACCTTCCACCGCTCTCCGCGCTCTTGCCAGCGTCAGTAATCAGAATAGGTAGTTCTGGATTCTCCCAAAGGATTTGCTCGATGCGACTCTCATAGCCGCCGGGCTTGCGCCGTGGTGCAACTTCTTCTTCGGGATAGGCGTCATTGTCGTCACTCTCGGGCTGATCTTGAGGAGCATCGTCACTCGTGATAGACGGGGTATTAAGTACGCCAACGCGAGCATCTAGAATTTCCCAATCATTGTCAGTATCGTGGGAGAGCGGCGGGCTGCCAAGGGTGACCTCTTGTAAGGCTCCCTGTCCCTCAGCGTGTTCTACCTTTCCCGGCCGCAACGATTCCATCATCTTGGAGGGAGATTCGAAGATGACAGGGGGCGGACAGGAGGACGGACGTCCAAGTAGAAAAGGCACTTACGAGAGCTCGGAGTTGGTGAAGTCGAATTGACAGAAGAGCTCAAGCTATCACGGCGGTCAAAGCTCGTGCCGTAAGGGTTATTATCCTCGTCATTCCACATGGTTGACAGTCAAACCGCACGGCAAGCCGCACGATGAGGCAAACAGCCTGTCGGAGAGCTTTGTGCTGAAAGAAGCGCACAGTCCACTGATGTAAGAATCAGGCCTTACGTGCGATTTGATTGCAAGGTGATCGTAATCCAATTGCTAGGCAGCGGTCAAAGAGAGGAGGTGGTGGGGGAGGGGTCAGTAACTTGACAGCTACCCGCGCCAGAGAGGGGAGTAAGGTTATGTCAGACAATGTCTAAGAGCACTGCAGCACAGTCATGCTCTCATGAAAGAGGAAGACATGCAGGTACAGGGTACAGATATGATATTGTCTTTGATGTGTGGGATGTGTGGTAGGATGTTGGCAAGGTGTGGTGATGTTGGATGCGCGAGGTTTCGGTGGCTTCGGGACTTGGTTCGAGCTCCCCCTAACAAGAGGGATGATGTCGGTGCTAGGCTCCTGCCTATCCGCGGGTTATGACACTTTGGTTGGCGGAACTGCAGGCACGGACCCATTTTCAGGGTTGCTCTTGACCACCTATGATTTACCTTAGTTAGAAAGTATCATCGTACACGTGCAAGGTGCAGGCAGGTACATCATTCTCCCAAGGTGTACAAAGGTAGTACATAGCCTATTGTTACTGTACGAAGTATTACTTAAGATACCTCCCCATAGAGGCAGGTACATTCCCCATCTGGTTGGAAATATTGCTCCAACATAAGGTACCGAGTACGACAGCAACTTCGCCCTATTTGGCTATTTCCTCTGCCACGTCCATCATAGGAGCACCTCATTATCAAACTAGTTACCCCAGCCCGCCTCTACTCTCTCGTCGCTCGCCTCCGAGTACACATACGGAGTAGATCTGCCCCGAATACTTGCAATTCAACGACGAGACCCATACTGTCCGCCCCCCTGATGTAAGGGTTGCGGTGGTATCGGTCCAGTCTCCTTCCCAGTGCCGGAATCTGTGCTGTCGTCGTGAGCCATTGCAACACAGTATCTACGCCGAATTCCATTTAGTGACATCCTTTCCTGTAGCTGCGCATGCCGGGGATACGTTACCTTGTCTCTTGGGTCCGCCTCCAGCTCTCCCGCTCGCGTCTCGTTACCTTCATCTCTACTTCCGCATCACCGTCGTTCCACTCTTTTCCAGATGTGGACATATCTTCCATGGCTCCGGAGAGGGCAGTAATTAGCATGCGAATCATCCCATTTCCAGAGGCTCGCTTATGCTTCGGGTTGCTGTGGCGTTGGCGAGTTTCGTGTCCATTTGACCGACTGCAGGCCCCGTCAGCGTAACGAAACTATTGCCAGTGTGACGAGCTACTTACCGGTGTTGAATGTCGGAGCCCGAGGATCGTTGACGGCCGAGCCACGGCCGTCGTTCTGTCAAATCTGGACTTGAATTGTCCCTGAACCGGCCTAAATTCCCTCCTGGTTGTACACCGCGAGGCCATGCTTTTCCAGCCTCGGTCCCAGGAGGGTCCCGCGCATCTGCATCCGATCTCGTGCTCTCTCCCGCTTGTTCGGGGTGGTGGGGAAGGAGAAAGTCATCGCTGTACACCGTGGCTATGTGAGATTGTGGTGAGGCTGTGACAGCGCAATCGTCGGTCGGTCTTCCCTCATTTCTGTGCCCCTCGGGGGCGGCTTCAGCCGAAACAGCAGAGAACCTCGACTCCTGAGATTGTCTTCTCTCTGTCAAATTGCTTCTTGATTGGGGTCTTGAACTTGAAATAGTTTCTGCTCGGCCATATGGCATACGGCAAAGCTGTAGGAACCTCTGGGCCAGCGAGGTGTATCCCGGAGACTTGCCGCATTCGTGGTACTGTGCCTCATACCAAGTCTGTCGTGGCATGGGCAGTCCAACCTGTAACTGAATAGGTCGGTAGTTAGGCTGGCCCTGCATGGCGCGAACCGCAGTGCCCTGGTTGCTCTGCACAGGGCCCAACGCCGGTTGGAGAGCATGTATAGGCGGTGCAGGGAGGAGGATCGGGTTCTGGCCTTGGATATACGAATATACCGTGGGCTGACGAAGAGGAACTATGGCATTATACTGCGGCGGCTGGACACCCGGTATCGTCGGCAGACTGTACGAGGTATGTCGTGAAACGATAGATCGAGATCGCCTCATCTTGTCGTCTGATCTCTTTCGCTGGATGGGCCGCATAGGGATAATGTTTTCGTCGTCGTCGGTCCAACCTTGGTTCTTGCGATTATGGCAATAGTAGGCCATGGCCAGGATGAGAGAGACAGAGAACAGGATGGCGCTGAATAAAATACCAACCTGCTGGCCCTGGCTCAAGCAGTTCCACCCGCCAGAGCAGACACCCTCCTCTCCTTTACGGACCAGGGCGATGGGTGCAGTGGACTTGTCTTTCCGCCCGGGGAAAAACAGGTTCAAGTTGTCAACAAGACCAGAGACTGGGCCCATGCGGTTGTCTCTGTCTGTCCCATGGCCTACCACACCCATTGCGGTAGCTGGTTCGTTCGGTTCCGAGTGCACAGTGGACTATCCGATGGGTCAGTCAGAATGCCAGTGGTGGATGAAGGGCAGAAGCAGGAACGAGTAATATGCACAATAATATAACACTTACCGGGAAGGAAACTGATTCTGGGGTATGCCGAAGGGATGGATTTCTTTGCACTGTCACCCGATACGGCTTGAAGAAAAGATCTTGTGGGAAGCACAGAACGGGTAGGTGCACAGGGACGTAGGCAGCTGCTTCCCATTTAACTGTCTTCCGACTGGGAAGTTCGCTCCCACACCTTAGTGGACATTGTGGTATATGGACCATGTGACGGAAAGGGGATCTTCACCGTAGAAAATTATACGTTATAAGAAGACACCTCGGGGACTCGTCTCTCGCTGCGCCTCGTGGGAACTGTTTGCCCATATAGTTCCCCCAAAGGCGGTTCATGATATGAGAATATGAGGATACTCACCTCATCCTTACCTGTCATATTGATTGATGTACTTCAAGAGGGGTAATCCTAGGCGAGTATCGAGGCTCTAAATAGTGACTCGATAACTTCGGATTTGTAGCTTCTGACTTGTCATCTGGAGCAAGAGCAATCAGTTCGAGGGTTTGCTGGTGAATCGATACGTTTACGCGATAGGATCCATCGAACTGTCGAGGGTGTTTACGACCTGCTCTACTTACGCCCGTTTGCTTCTCACACTGACATACGGTAACAGCCATAAAATTGGGAGGATTTAGGTGACTCTGCAATATCTGACTCGTCACTTCATAAAGTCCTCCTGGATGCATCTTGCTTATAGGGATGCTAAACCGGGACGGTCGGATATGAACTTCACCTGGCCGCCGTCTACCAAGAGAAAAGGCCGAAGAGTCGTACATATAAGCTCAACTAGTAGAAATCCTCGGGTGCGAAACTGCTTTGATCATTGTCACGTCTGCTGCGTTGCTTGATCTGGGCCGCTGAGGTTCCTTGGTCTTGTTGTTCAGGAGGTAACTCAGGCGAGTGAGTATTTCCCTAGGTACCTAGGAACCATTTTGATGCCTAAGCCAGGGGATCAACGGTCTCACACTTGTCGTCATCACGTGATCCTACCTAGGGCAGAAAGGGAACCCCACACCGCACGCACCGGCCAATGGAAACCCGACCACCTTAAGCGAGAATCTCTACAAACCAACCCACCAGAATTTTCCTTACGACTTTCCACATTTCGCAACGACACGACCGTCGACAACAACAGACATCAAGGCATCGTCGTTGAGATAGTTGCCCAGCATGTCTCTCGTCACAGGGGATAAGAGTGAGTAACCCGACGTTCAAAACAACAAACGTTTGTCTGGTGTGATGAAGTAAGATGGTTGCTGACTTTGCTATCCGTGTAGCGAACTTCCAGTTCATTCTCCGACTTCTGAGTATGTTTCGCCCTCGACAACTACCTACCCATAACCTTCTCGATCACAATGCTAGCCACGGCTTTGGCTTCCACGAACGGGAGACGGATGACTTGGCATGCGGGAATGCGATCTAACAATGGATTATAGACACCAACGTTCGGGGTCAGGAGAAGATCATGTACGCCCTCACCAAGATCTCTGGTGTCGGTCGTCGTTACTCCAACATTGTTTGCAAGAAGGCCGATGGTGCGTTGCCCACTACTCTACCCTCTCGAGTTCCATGGTGGATGAGGCGAAATTGCTCGATGGATCGACAGGCCGCTGGGATGGTGGACTAACCCGTTCATGCAAAACAGTCGACCTGAACAAGCGCGCCGGTGAGCTCACCTCCGAAGAGCTCGAGCGGATCGTCACCATCATCCAGAACCCCCAGCAATACAAGATCCCCGGCTGGTTCCTCAACAGGCAGCGCGATATTGTCGACGGCAAGGACTCCCAGGTTCTCGCCAACGGTGTCGCCTCCAAGCTCCGCGACGATCTCGAGCGCCTGAAGAAGATCCGGGCCCACCGCGGTCTCCGTCATTACTGGGGCCTCCGCGTCCGCGGTCAGCACACCAAGACCACGGGCCGCCGCGGCCGGACCGTCGGTGTTTCCAAGAAGAAGGGTGGCTAAACGAAAAGTGAAGCCAACAGAGAGCGGGTTTTTCTTGCGGAGCAGTCAGGGATTCGGTTTTGGGACAGGCGCGACGAGGAATGATTTTCGCTCCCATCTTGATTCCTTGTATTTCATCGTTGGGGGGCCTGCTTTTCGACATTGCGATGAAGCGGGCTGGTGGCGATACTCTAGATATATACGAGTTCGTCAATCCAAAAATAAAAAACGGCATCCAAAACATCCCGTCGCGTCATCATCATCAACTCGTTGCTATGTGGCATGCGTCTCCGACATGACTTTCTCGAGATAGTGTCGAGTTTGATGATGCCGTCCCCTCGTAAGTACCAGACGAGCCTTGCACGGGGCAGGACCGTACGGGAGTCTATAGCCGGCTTCGACATGGGATGTCCCTGGTTGCCTGTGTCTTGGAAGGCACGGAAAGTGACGCCCTTTCAAGAGCAGAGTAGGAGGAAGGGAATAATGACAATGTATTGAAAGTGGCTAAATAAAGAGAAATTATGCTCTGCCTGCAATGAAACGGTGATGCTAAACAACACTCCATTGTGGTTCATGCCCAAGATTCGGCTAAAAATGAAGAAAAGCCGGATATATCTGCCCTGGCCTTCTCCCCACAGCTCTGTCGTACCAACAAAATGACACGATCAGTCCTCATGAGTGACTGCCATATCCAGCACCTCGATTCTTCCCCTCCCCTTCGTCTCGTTGCCGATAAAGTCGCCAAGACCCTTGTAAGCGCCAGGTTCCACAAACCCGACAACCTCCCAATCGGAACCCACGACATCCTGGCTCTCCACCTGTTCGAAATACCCCAAGATCCGGTCCTTGACCGTCCCGGCCTTTTCTTCCGTCCCGTCCTCCTTGGCTCCACCCGCCGAGGGCTTGACGGCCTGTTTGAGGACGTTCGTAGCACAACTCACCCGGAGCTTCATCCGCGCGCGCTGCACGGGGATGGGCTGTGCCGCGATGAGCGCCTTCATAGCCTCCAGCGCCTGACTCTTGGCCGACTTGGTAGTAGACACGCCCGTCCACACGTGTTCCTTCCTCTTCACATTCGCGCTTCCTTCGTCCCCTTCCCCCACCGTCGTAGGCGTGCCCGTGCTCGTGCCCGTGCCCGTGCCCGTGCCGCTCGCCGAAGTCGACTTGCCGGCGTTATCCGAATGAGCGGCCGAGCTGAGCATGTCGAGCGCCTTCTCGATCATGCCGCGCGTGTAGACTCGTTTGGTGCGCGGATCGACCAGTCGCGAGGCCACTATGCTCACCACCTCGTTTTGCACGCGCTCATGCTGCGCTGCTCGCTCTTTCTCCCCGACCTGGATGTCCCCGCGTTTGAGGATCTCCAGCACGATCTCGTCTGTCGATTTGCCCTTGCCGAACGCCTTCTCCAGATCTTCCTTGGGCGCAGTCTGCCCCTTCGAAACGTTCAGGAATACCTGCGGGATCTGCAGCACATTGTCCAGGTCTGTTTCGATTCCGGATCGGTATTCCAGCACTTTGTTCTTGTAGCATGCGATCTCGAACCTCTTCTTCCCTTTCTTCAGCCTGACCAACGATATATTGGTCAGCTTAATCTGGTTGGATGGTTGATTTATTTGGCGTGACATGGTTTTGTGGTTGTAATAGGCTCGTCGGAGGAGTTACTGGACAACCATGGGTTTGGGTCGCCGAAATGCGAGTTCGTCGGTGATATGAGAACGGTCGATTTCGTTCTTCTATTTTCGCCTCTTTTGTTTTCTGGTAAAAAATGAGAAGTGAGACCGAAGATAGGTTCGCTGGGTGTGGTTCAGATGTGGTGTTTTCTCCGCGATATTGGTATTCTCTTAGGGATCCCTTCTCTTATATATACGCTGGTTTTAGCGGGGGAGGGGCAGTCAAGTAAAAAGGTCTGACGTCGCACTCGGTATGATGACTCATCCACCCTGCACTCTAGGCCCAGTCTGGTCCCTGGTGCTACAATCCAGTTGTGGCTTGGAGTGTTAGTACGGCGTTTTCCTATGGAGGTAATATCAGCGATATAAGGGACTTTACGGAGTATTACCTGTCACGAAAAATGGCCTTTGAGGTGTTGAATACAAAGCGATTTTTGGTCACAGAGTCACTACGAGCGAACGTATCCGAGGTGTACGCTATTCCATTTCTCAAAACACGATTGCATCATTTCTATGCGCCAATATCCTCAATTCCCATCTTCGATGCTTGCATGTCCTCGTCTTCCGGTGAATGCTTCTAGCCAACGCGGTCGGACTGTGAACAGACAGACCAGCTGTGAAATTAGGCGGCCCATTCTCCGCCAAGCCAGCGGTTGAAGAAGTCGGATGAGGCCTCGGGCTGGTCCATGGGCACCATGTGGCCCGCACCATAGAGCTGCATGAAGGTGAAGTTGCCGCTTGACTTGACCTTGCCGTACTCCTCACTGTCACCGTTGGCCACGGTCAGGCTCTCAAGGTTGGCATCATTGAAACCCTTCTTGCCGGGCCATTCCAGGGCCTCAGTCCAGGCTTGGTTGCCCAACCAGTTGCAGATGTAGTCGGCATCGCCGGCATAGATCAGGACGGGGATCTCCTCGAGGATCTGGGGCACGAGGCGGTGGAAGGGCTGGAACCAGTCACCAGCAAAGAGGAAGTTGCGGTTGATGTCAAAGTTACAGCTCTCATAGCTCGACACCTCGGCACCCAGGGCGGAAATGACATCGTCCTGGTTCAGGTAGTCGCTGACATAGCCGAGGGCCCTGTAGCAAAGGCTGCCGGCGCCCTCCTCGCACTTGCCACGGATGTCGTAGACGTTCTGACCAGTGCGTTGGTAGGGGCCGATGAGGGCGTTGTTGCAGTAGATGCTGGCGGGAACGCAAGACCAGACGCTTCCGGAGTCATAGCAGCTCTTGATCAAGCCCTGGCAGCGGGGAAGAGCATTGTCCATGGCCTGACACTCGCCCTCGGTGAGCACAGCCGGGTAGCCACCGTCGCCACAGGCCATGGGGCGATAATAGGCGTACTGCGTCAAACCATCGGTCAGACCGTTTCCGATGAGAACGCTCTTGAGGTTGATGTTGCGGTCCTTGTGGGAGAGGATCTCCGAGGTGAATGCGGGGATGTAATGGCCAGCGTAAGACTCGCCGGCGATGTGGAAATCCTGCTTGGCATACTCGGGGAACTGGTGGAAGAAGAGGGTCAAAAGGGCATAGACGTCCTTTCCGGCGGCAACCGTGCTCGTGACGGAGGAGCCCGAGTAGGAGTAGCCGACGTTCACGGGTTGGTCGAGGAAGATGACCGAAGCGTTGTTATTCCATGACCACTTGTTGTTGATGACTTCAATCTTGTCATTGATGCTGGACGGGCCCAGTTCGAGGAAGAGGCCGGTCAAGGACGAGCAGCCAGGGCCACCATTCAGCCAGAGGACGACGGGGTCGTTCTCAGGGTCATTCCGGGACTCGAAGAACCCTACGCGACACGAATGGTTAGCAAGGGATGGTGTGCGGAGAGGGAAAGGGAAAGCCATCTCGTAAGGTGAGACTGGAATGATAGACCGGCCGGTAAGAAAACCTACAGTAAAATAGATGCTTGTCGTTCTCTTCGTCATCGAGGTAACCGCTGTATTGCTTGACGGTGTCCACGCCAAGCTTGGAAGGATCGACCTTCTTGGCTCGGAGATTGAAGTTCTCGAGCCGGCCGCCAACCTGACGATGCTTTGAGCCGTCCTCCTCAACCCACAGGTTTTGTACGTCGGCACCCTTGACGATGTGGTCCCAGTGTGAGTCGGGGCGTCGGTTATGAGGCTTGGGCTTAGTTGGGACTGCGTTCTGCTTGAAGGCATGAACAGCATCGGGGGCCATCAAGGCGAGCTCGTCCCAGACGGCTTTGGCTTCGGCGGTGATCTCGCTGAACTTTTCGCCAAACATGTCCATCCAGGAGTCGCCAGCGGGCTTGATGGACTCGAAGGAGTGATCGCTGGCACCGGCATCGGCACCGGCACCGTCACCACCGAGGACCTGTTGGTCCATGTTGGCAACCGCCGAAGCCGCGCCGAGCACGAGGGCGGACGTGGACAACTTCATGGCTGGTACAAGGAGCTGTAGTACACAAAAGAAGTGTCCTATGCCCTGATAAAAATGGAAATAATGATGGAGGGGATGTGGAGGATGGAGAGGATGGAGATGATGAAGATGGACGATGAAGGAGGAGCTTGCGTTGGGGGAGAGATAGGAACGAGGCGGGAGGGAAGTGGTTAAATTGAGACGTAACCAACCAGAAACGGAAAGCATGGACCTGACTGTCCTGACGCAACTCCTGGGGCGGCCTGGGGTTTCCGGGTGATGACATGATCCCTGGTTGCATGCCTGATATCGGCGCCACCGTGGCGGCACAGCCAGGCACGACGCCAGCATCCAATAAGAATGCCTGACTCGTCACCGGCCCAAGGATGAGAGTGGATTCTTGTACCGTGATAGCCACGACTCGTGACCAATAGCGACGACCGAGGCATGAACCTCTTCAGATACCTTAGCTCCTCCCACTCCGTAGGTAAGGTACAGAAGGTATCGACCCTGATAGATAGAAGTACATAATCTTACTTCGTATCTGTAAGTGATTATCTAAGGATCCAAGGTACGGGTATACCGTACGGATACAAGCTCAGCTAAAGTCGCAGTCGCATTTCTTTCTTGCTACATGTACCAGTTCCCTCCAAGAAGCGCAACATCGTACCTACACACCAGCACCAGCCTGCGCATCCGCCATGTCGACAATTGCCTCCCCCAGAGAACCATCCGCGACGCGGCTTGGTCGCCGTCTCTCCTCCCAACCACTCTCGCCGACACCCTCAAACCGACCCTCCCTAGAAGTCTCCCGCTCCCAGACGAACTCGCCGCGTCCAACCACACCCATTGCCCTCGCTTCCGCCGCAGGAGGAGGCCCTCCGAACAAACGGGCCAACCGTGCCGCCCTACGGGAATATTACAACCTCAAGAAACAGCAGTCCGCTCCAGCTACTCCCACTCTGGAGGTGACGCAGCAGTCTGAAGTGCCCACCAGCGAGCTCGACGCATCCGACTTCGACGCCGATGCCTATGTCCAAAAGGCGCTAGAGAACAGCACGCTCGAGGAGCTGCTGAAGCTGTACACGCGGGTGTTGGGCGAGGTCAGGGCGTTGGATGCCGAAAAGAAGGCCCTCGTGTATGACAATTACTCCAAACTGATTTCGGCCACGGAGACAATACACAAGGTGAGTTTTGAGTTTTCGAGACAGACCTTGGTTTTAGTTTAGGATGAGGGAAGATTGACGCCTGGTAACCCACAGATGCGATCCAACATGGACCCTTTGAATCCCATGGCTGCAACCCTCGACCCGGCCATTGCTCAGATCTACACCCAAGCCTTATCCATACGAGAGGCGCTACGGGCAACCGTACCCGCACCGGACTCCGAAGCTAGGGAGAAGGAAGACGCCCTGGCGCAACGACGGAGAGCGAGACGGCTTGCGAGAGAAGTGCTCGATACACCCGAGAGGTTGCGGAAGCTGGTTGCCGAAGGGGAAATGCTCGAGGCCCGAAAGCAGTGGGAGATGCCGCGACGGTTACTGGAGGTGTGGAAGGCCAAGGGTATCGGGGGCAACGATGTGCTCGAGTGCTTGGAGGAGGGCGATGCGGCTGTGGGGAGGGCAAAGAAAGCGTCAACAGACAGTGGGTGCACCGCAAAAGGGGACAGCTCTTGAGTTGCATTACCTGTCGTCGAGCGAAGTCTTACTTGTCATGCCGCACGAACCAGCCCTGCCTCGCCTGGCAGATGAATCTCAGATTCGTTCATGTCGCTGACCGCCACAACCATTTTCCTTTCCACTTCTCAGGGCCTTAATAGGGCTTGACTAAGCTTGACTGATACCTTTTATGGGAGTGGGTTACGTGGGACCTGGACCATACACTTACAACGTATACCCCCCCCAATTTCTGGTACACCGCTATCCTTTTTCTACCTAGTTCTACTTGAACCAACGAGAAGGGGCAGTCGGCTTCCTCAGCTTCAGGCCTGCACAATCTCAAACGGATCGCGGTCGACTTGGCTCATGAACACTTTAGCACCGGGCTCCGTCTCCCGGAGCTCCCCTTCCAACAAGGGCACCAGCCTCTCCCGGAGGAAGCCACGCTCCGAGTTGCTATGGAACACGGTCACGACGATCTTCCCAAGCTGCACGGCCTGCAGGGCGTTATGGTGGCTCACCTCGCCCGTGACGATGACGTCCGCATCCGCATCCTTCACCACGCCCCACCCACTACCGGCGCACACGGCCGCCGAGCTCACTTCCCGCTCCCGCCAGCCCTGGCGGTCCGGCGCCGCCACCATGACGTGCTGCATGCCGATCGCGGCGGCGAGGTTGCTGACGAGTCGGCCGGCTTTCTGCGGGGTCGAGAAGCGGAGGACGCCGCCAGAGCCGGCGCCCTCGAAACCCGCCAGGGGAGCGGGGTTGGGGGTCGCGGCGGTGCGCTCGAAGGGGGCGTCGCCGGCGAGGGAGTCGGCGAGCCAGGCGTTGATGCCCCGGGGTGCGGCGTCGAGGGCGGTGTGCGGGCAGTAGACTGCGACGCCGCGGGAGGCGAGGAGGAGGAGGGTTGCTTGCTGAGGGTCGTTTGTTGTGATGGATTTGAGACCGGAGAAGATGATGGGGTCTGTGTTTTTCAAGTCAATAGGAGTTATTGCAGGATAAAGCTAAGACACTACCAGGCTGGATATGGGGAATGGCATTTCTTGGGCGCCAGTGACTTCCCCAATCATGGTGCCGAAATGATGCGCAACAGATGTTGAGGGAGAAAAGGGGGGGGGGGGGGGGGGGGGGGGGGGGGGGGGGGGGGGGGTAAAGCGGCATGAAACAGGAACAGGGAAACATACGGTAGCTAACAACGACACTAGCACCCTTCTCAACAGCTTCCTGAGCCACGGCGTACGTGAGATCGTTTGTGACGAGGACGACGGGCGGTTTTCTTTCGTCTGGGCTTGTCTCTATGTTTCCAAAAAGGAGACCGACATTGTCCCATGAGCGCTCGGCAATCTCCTCGGGGAAACTATGCCCGATGGATACGACAAGCAGGTCAGCAAAGCCAGAAGCTCGACATATCAGTACAAGGCAGACCACTCATCACGCACTGCTTCCTCATGGCACCCACCACCAACTGGGTGAAGGTGGGAGATCGGTAGTTGGTACTAGCAGCCGCCATCTTTGCTGGTGGCGTAGTCGAGCCGGATGGGCCGCAGCGGGAAATCCGAGTCGAAGTGAAAGTCCGGCTGAGAACGTGGGGATAATGTCGACGGCTCGATGTAAGAGAGTTTGCCTTGAGAACGTAAGATCGTAATATCTGAGTCTTTGAAGATACACCGGCGTTGATGATGAGGGGATATCGACTCGGGTGAAGTGATGGAGCCAGCTTCAAACTCATGGAACCCACTGCACTTTCGCTCGTCTCGTCTTCTCTCTCTCTCTTCTTCAACTGCAACAAACCAAATACACGACTCTATGTGCACTGTGCACGCGAAATGGAATAAATATTCTCTCAATAGATACGCCGTTAAAAGTGTACAAGTCGGTCAAATGGTGGAGTGCAGATAATATGGGCGGGCCTTAATTAGTTGGTTGGCTGGATGGTTCAACGAACGGCTCCGTTTTTCAGTACGATTGGAGTGAATTAATTATTACCTTACGAGTTGTCCTGCGCAACCAACCGAAACGTTTCGAAGTGTGAGTGACGTCGATGCGATGACTCAGCTACCTACCTTAGCTCTTGACCAATTTATCTTATCAATCAGATCTAATCCCCTCGACGAACGCCTGGTATAAAGCTCTCAATTAATACCGACACTTATTAGTACCGCGAAAGGAGCCTTGAATTCTCGAGTTATTTCTGCTCGGTCTACCATCCAAACCTCCAAACCATGTCAGACCAAATAACAGAAGCCTCGCTGAAGGAGGCAATCACCGAACGTCTCAATGCCATTCATGTTGAGATCACAGACATGTCCGGTACGTACGTCCACGATTTATGTAGATAACCTGCCCCGCGCCATTGCATGCATCTGTGTCCCGCGTCATCCCCAAATCGCATTTCTTATTGCCTTTCTTTTTTTTCTTTCTTTTTTTTCTTCCTTCTTTTTCTTCTTCCTTTTCCCCCTCTCGTCTCCAACTTCCCTTTCTTCTTACACCTACCGCCAAATGCTAAACCCTACTGTTCGGTAACCCAGGCGGCTGCGGCCAATCCTTCACCTCCCTCATCGTATCCCCGCAGTTCGAGAAACAGACCTCTCTCAAACGCCACCGCCTCGTCAACGCCGCCCTGAAGGAAGAGATCGCGCGCATCCATGCCTGGAGCGCCAAGTGCCAGACCCCTGCCGAGTTCGAGCGCGACAGAGCTGCCCGTGGCGGCGAGACGGAGGGCCCTCCACTAGACGGTACTGTCAATGGGAAGGTGGAGGGCGTCAAGGACTAGTAACGTGGTAAAAACGGGACGGGAAGCTCTGGCATCGCACGGGGAATCGGTTCGGAATATGTATCGGTCTGGAGGGGGGTTGTCCAGCAGGGAAGAAAGGCGGGTTTACTGATACCATGGATCTCAAAGGGACCGGATATAGCGCTATAGTTTGGGCAACGTGGTCTTGGACCAGTCAAAGGTCAGAAAGCTGTTGACGAGAAAGCGGGAGGACCATTGTACGGAGTACTATCGTGGCTAATGTTTTGTATTCGAATTTTTCCGCGCTGTTCCTACGCAATTACGGAGACCTCTATGCGTAAAAATCGAAGTCCCTATTACGCATGTGTCGTAGCCCTATTCGACGTCCTCCAGTTCCTCGAGACCACGCTTCTAAAACAGCCCCAGAAGATCTTCCGTCGTCTTCTTTTGTTCCCCGCTTGTACTTGTCACCCCCGACTGCTGGTGCAGTTGCATAGCTGCTGGCAGGGGCTGGTTCGATGTCTCGCCGCTAAAATTGAGATCAGCAAACCCGTTCATCAAGTCGTTCATGCCACCGCTCAGACCCGCCCCGGCCCCGGCCCCGGCCCCAGCCCCCGCCCCCGCCCCCGAAGGCCCCGCGGCGCCCGGCGATGGCCCTTGTGGCGGCGGCGCGTCAAAGAGGCCCATCATATCGGCCATGGCACCAGAGGCGGCGCCGCCAGCGGGACTCGCCACTCGATCAGGCGTGCCCACGTTGCTGTTGCCGCCGCCTTGTTCCGTCGAGGCCGGCGCTGCCCCGTCGAAATCAATATCAAGAAGGTTCTCAATGTTGTTCTGTGACGCCCCCGTGCCCGCAGCAGCCGCCGCCGCCACCGACGCAGCAATGGGGTTCTCCTCCGCCTCTTGCCGCTGCTCCTGGATCGCTGCGCGCTGGATCTCGTCGGCCCCGAAGCGGCCCTTGCCGACGAACGACTCCGGCGCCATGTGGTACACCGATGCGAGCGTCGAAAGCTCGGACAAAAGCTGCTCCAGCAGGGCTGGCGGTAGGCTGGACACGGTCGTCGTGATCGGGGGCTTCGCGGAGAGGACGATTTTCTTGGCGACCTCGAGATCGCCCGACAGCAATCGCCAGTAAATGTACGCTCTGTCGCGGATGTCTGGGTTGTCGTTGTCCGTTGTCGCCGCCTGCAGCACCTTCTGCACCAAGCTTTGGTTGCTACCCGGCTTCTTCAGGAAGAGCTTGACCACCGCGGTCAAAATCTGCAGTTGCGTCTGTGGTAGAGAGCTGTCAGCCATACCGTGTCGGAACTGAGGCAGGATCCCTCTCCATCATCATCCTTACCTGGGTGAATTCCTCGTTGAAGATGTCGACAAACCCGGACAGAATCTCCTGCGCATTGTTGATCTTCTCCGCATACTCTCCAACGATCCAGATTAAAGATCCCCTGGCCGACGGCTCATCGAGATCGTCGATGTGCTGGCAGAGCGTTGGGATGACTCCCTCATATCCAGGATATTTCCGGAGGATATCCTTCACGACCACAACCACTTCTTGCACGACATAGTTGACCTTGGTCGCAATGAGATCCAGCAGCGCGTTGACGCATTTCTCGCTCGCGCTTTCAATCTTGATGGCCACCTGCCCGATCGCTTTGATCGCTCTCTTGACAAAGTCCATGTCCACTTCCAGGGCGTACTCCTTCAACTCCGCTAGCAGCTGGTCGTAGTTCTTCTCGTTTGCTATCCTGACCATGATCTCGAGCTTCTGGAGCTTGACGTAGGGCGGGTCATTGTACTTGCAGAAGAAAACCCTCATCTCCTTGCTGAGAATGTCGGGCTTGGCCTGCAACAGCAGGTCGATGTTGCGAAGCGCAACGTATTGGACTTCCGGTGCGGACGACACCAGCGTAACCAGAGGGGGCGCCATCTTCTTCAGATACGACTTGACCAGTTCCGGGTTAATGTGCTTCATGTGAATGAAGACAACTTTGACAGCAGCCAATACGACGCTGGGATTGACGTGCTGGAACTGTGGCGTGACCCTCTCGCAGATGTGTTCCGACTCTTTGACCTCCGTCGGCGTGTAGCCCGCCAGCGTCGACAAGATAGTAACCCGACCCCATTCAGTACACTCGTTAAGCGCGAGCAGCAGTTTCTTGAGTGTCGCAGGCTTGATGACAAGCGCTCTCGTCTCCGGCGCCGTCTCGTGGATCTCCGACAAGGCCTGGACGGAGTTGGCGACCACCATGGGGTTTGGGTCCCCAGTTAATTCCTGCAGCGTCTCCAGAAAGCCGTTTTCGATACACATGGTCGGGTTCAAATCAAATAGCTTCGCAACGCAAATCGCGGCCGTTTTCCGGACGTACGGCGACTCGTCTCGTAACGTTTTCCTTAACGGGTCTTCCATGTAATCCACCATCTTATCCACACGGATACATCCCATTGTTCGTATGGCAAGCGCGCGTATAAGAGGATTGGGGTCTTCCGAGTCTTGGACGAAGGTGTTGACGGCGAGGATGCAAAGGTCGGGATGTGATTTGGCGTAGTTCCTGGTCATCGGTCAGTGGCCGCGAAAGTAGGATGGCACGGGTGGTCCCAATGCGAAGAGAAGAAGAAGCACGCATCGACGCTGAGACTTACATCAGATAAAGATAGACGAGCTTCTTCTGATCCAGATCGCTAGTTGCGATGTTCTTCAACACATCTGGAAAGAGCGCAGAGACATCCTTGCCCAGTGTCATCGCCATGATCGTTTTCTGAATCGACTCCTTCCGTTCGTACGCATATTGTGACACTAGACCAGCCCGTAGCTCAAAGGTTTCGCCCTTCCGAGGCGCACTAAAGGCCCCTCGAATGCGGTTGACCGCCATGACTGCAGAGCGCTCAAAGGGACAGTGGAGGGGCACAAGGGGGGTTCGACCTGACGGTGGTGGTAGAGGAAGACGAGGGACGAAATGACGAGGGGTGTCTGCCAGCCGTTTTAAGAGATATAATACGACCGCCCTCTATAACGGCTGTCGTGCCGCCTTTGTCGTCGAAACTGGGTTGTCCGTAAGAGTGTCGTCCTTGATTTGCCAAGATAATTACAGCTCGATGGAAGCGAGATCGCTCCTGAACAGATGGGCATTTCGAGCGCTGCCTACGGCGTGGTTCCTGTGGAGCCGTTCCGTTAGAGGCATGTTTGGTCTTATTAGGTATGTAATACACAAGATACTGCGATAACGAAGAGATACTTAGGTACTCAAGACTTGGCATTGTCTTGTCCCATCGTGGACCACCACACCAACCTCTCTCCTATCCGCTTGTTCATACCCTTCAGGAGGTGTGAGAGAGGAAGCGTCAAATGCCAAAGGTCCTACTCTGCCCGAGTATATCCTAGTATATCTGACCTCCAGTTAGCAACCCATGGTTCGTCGAATTGATACAATGTCTTCGGGCTTCTTATTTAACAGGACCGTAGGCAAACCTCCCGAATCTCCGTCGCCTCTTCATTGAAGCAAGGACGGACAATGAAGAGAGGGCAGTCTCACGGAAGGCTGTGAGTTAGCCCTGAGGTTCTAGCCTCTACCTACTTCTACTGACTCTGAAGTTTCTAGTTCTACAATGCTGTGCTCTTTATGGGGTCAGTGGCCGTTTTCAGTCTGATGGCCCAGAGGATGAACGCCTCGAAATGACGGATAACTGTCGTATGAAGAAGCTTCCATGCGCGACATATACGACTTGTCCAGAACTTCCTTCGCAATGTGACTACCGTACCCCGGGCCCTTCACTGCGAGGACTTCGTAAGACAGGCGACATTACAGGGACTCCAAACGTAACAGCCTGTTGTTTTGTGTTAGGGGAACACACAACAGTGGGCGGAAGCAGTTCTGGAACGAAGAATGCGCATCGTCGCCGCGACAAAACTGCCCATGCTCTCGCAACCGCATTCGGAAATTATTATGTTTCCTTTATACGAACAGAGCAGACCGGGGCCGTTATGGTTTTGGGTGGGTATCAAACGCTTGCTCTTCGGTACAGGCCGATTTATCTTGTTCAAATTCAACGAGCCCATCTTGTACGACTCGCCAGCCGAAGTAGTCAACGTTCTGCTTCTCTGTGAAGCATCATGGCTTTACACTTCAAGCTCGAAAGCTGGCTCTATGTATCCAATATTCCGAACCTGGATCCCTTCTCAGGGGGGTTGACTGGATATTGAGAGCGTGCTTTGTCTCCGGCGTATTCAGAATCTGGGACCAAGATGGACGTTCTCGCGGCAACACCTCTGGTAGCCTTCAAATGCAACCGCTCATTCGAAGCGTCACTCCCCATCCCCCACCTCCTCCTCGCCTCCGTTTCCGGCTGTAGCTACGGGCACCCTAGCTTCTTGTTTCCTCCACAATCCTGCGAGGAACTCGCTAGTACTAGCTTCATCAATCCCCTTATCCTCCCTCTTTTTTAGGAATCTTGGGAACCGCAAGCTGAGCCCTCGGTCTTCACTCACAAGCCCAATCGCCGCGGTGTACGTCGGACTAAGCGTGATATCCGCAAATGCCACCTCCCAGACTTCCTGAGGCTCGAACCATACGTCGGGCGCAGGCCCGGAGTATTCGATGAATGCCGGCTTGGACGCGTGGGTATTCTTGCTTTCACCGCTACCGCTACCGCTACTACTGCCGTCGTCGTAAAATTCCTTGTTGGCCTTGTAGAATGCGTCCGTGAAACCGGACATGCATTTGCACACCACCTCGAGAGCCCCGCTGTCTTCGTTGCGGACGGCGAGGAGGATGGGGGACCACCATTTCGCCTTGCGACCTTGGCCATGCCAACCAGCCACCGGCACCATGTCCAGCGTGTCGAAACTGGAATGATAGTCCTTCTTGACTTTCAGCCAGGAGTCAAGGCGCTTGTCCGGTTCGTATGTTGCAAGCAGCGGCTTGCGTCGTGATTTCTTCTTCGCGGTAGCATCTCCCCCCGTCTCTCGCTTCCCTTTAGTGCCGTTCGCCTTCTTTTCTTCGGTCGGCTCCCCGGACTCCGCCATGTCGTCTCCCTGGTACGGCACATCCGTCAGATTGTCGAGAATTTTGACCATGATGCCCTCGCACTTCATATCTATCGCCTGTTTGAAAAAGTCCAGTACCGCATCCGAATCTTGAGAGGTGGCATCAAGACTCCTGACCCATGTGAACTTGTGAGGGACTTCAATGAACATGGACCGTAAGAGCTCCCGCCTTTCCCGGAACGACCGATCCAGAAGGGGTTGCCCATTTAGAAACATCAAGTCAAAGACGAATAGACACACCTCGACCTGAATGCTTCCGACTGCGACGTCTTTTCTCGCACGGTTTGTCAGTGTCTGGAAATTCTTCAGCTCGCCAGTCTCCGTATCAATGGCAACGACTTCGCCTTCCATGATGAAGCTGTCAACCCCCTCGCCGCGTATTTTAGGCATCAGAGCAACCAGGTCAGGATACTTGTCGGTCATCAACTCGAGATGCCTGGAGAAGATGCTGACATGTCCCTTCTCGTCGCAGTGAATCTGGGCACGCTGTCCGTCATACTTAAACTCGCACGCAAAGTCTCTCCCCTGCAACTTTATGAGCATCTCGGAAAGGTCTCGTGTTATGCTGCCCAGCATCGGACGGAGAGGGATATGCAATGTGAGCCCGCAACGGATTAGTAACTCCTCACACACGCCTATGTCCAGGAGGACCGGGACTAGGTCATCGTAGTTCGGACGTCGAGCAAAACACGCCTTAACGATCTCCTCCGCTTTGGCCCACACCTCAGCCAGCTCGTCTTTTTTGAGCTTGGCTAGGTCTGCGCGAGACCGCAGCGGGAAGTCTGATCCAGCGGGACGTGAGAGAAGAAAAGCTCTGGAGAGGGCGATGAGCATGGTCGTTTTCACTGCACCGATACGAAGCTGGATGTAACTTTTTAGTGAAGAGATTCCAACGGGAATCGGCGGGCGGGTCGGATTCATCTCACATGCTGGCAGAGTGTCCGGACAATATACCTGCTTTCTTCTCCTCCTCTCGCGTCTTGAAGCAGGCGATCGACCAAGCGCTGTTTTACCTCCCCGCTACCTTGGCCCTGACTGTTCGCAATCTTGACCAATGATTGGTACACTGACTTGATGGTCAGCGGCTTCGGTTTTCGAAGTGTGAAGCTCTGTTTCTTCTTGGCCTCAAAGGCGACATCCCCTGCGTCGCCGTACTTGTCGTAAATCCTCTTCAATGACTGAGAATCCAGACCGCACACTTTCTTGAGTGCTTTGGAGATGGCAGAACCACCCAAGCCTAGCTCTAAGGAAATGTACGGTGGGGAGATCGCATTAGTCGTGAGCCAAACAGCTGGGAGTAAGCTGTCTGGGTCTGCTTCGATCAGGACCCGGATGAAGTTGACTAGAGTATCAACGATTTTGATCCTGCTTTGAGTGCTGTTCACCAACACGAAGCATCTTGTGAGCAAAGCATACGAGGCGTTCCCGTCCTCAGAAGCCCAACTCTCCCTGAGTCTGGCGGTATATTCTGACGGTTCAAAGGTCAAGGGATTTTGATGGAACGGAATCGAAGACGAGACGGTATCCTCGGCAGTGGCGACAAAAGAAAGCGAGAGTGTTTTTATCTCTGGTTTGGGGGGCCCAGTTGGTTGTGAAGAGTCAGGTTTGGACCCTGGAATATCCTTCTCCGGGCTTGAGGCTGAGCTGGACTGCCGCCCAGAAGATAAGACCACGGCACCTGATTCCGCAGCCCTCTCATTTTGCACTTCCTGATCCCATTCAGCTTGGAGCTTCCTCGCGAGCTCTTCGTCTGTCAACTCAGGTGCTGGCCTCTCATCGGTCGCCAATCGGGGCGTATTGTCACGAGTACTTAACTCCGATGAACCATTGTGTCTTTGCTTGGAAAAGAAGTATTCCAGGCCACGAGCGGGGATGGCGGAAGAGCCTCGACCATCATTGAGCTTCCGTTTCTTCGCTGGGCTTGACATTTCCTTTACGTATCATGGACAGACGGGGAAAAAAAGGGCGGCAGAACAACTTTTGTCATGAGGCAGTAGACCAAGATGTGAGGTTTGTCTTCAATGGCAAGTTTGATGGTGGTATAAAGCTGCGTTGATGTTGTGTTGTACCTTAGGGAGTTCTTGGTTCCCTTTCCGAAATCGTGGTAGTCAATGACGCTCGATCCGCGTACGTAACGCGACAGCACGTGCAGAGGCGAAGCACGGACCAAGTATGCTGAGAAGAGCCGGGCTTTACTTTTGCCGTCATCCGACGCTAACCCACTTTTGGACTTACCTGGCGCACACATCGAGATGGAAATCTTCCACCACTGCCCCACTGAAAGATATCCCCCCTCGACATCACCAGAGTCAGACGCCGACGACACTGTCAAGATGAACGGTGAAGATCCGCCCGAGCGGCCCGAATATGTCCTCAACATTATCAATGGCCTGGAACGGTACAACCCTGAGGCCGTTGGTGCCCTCGAGGGCTACCTCACGGAGCAGTGTGAGCAGAAGTATTGCGACTGTAATGCGAACCGGACACTCCTCAAGCTGTGAGTCCCTGTTGTTCCTTCATCTTTCAAGTTTTTGTCCATGTCTTCATTTCAACACTGGGGTTTTATGAAGAGTTCTTGTCAACGTTTCCTATTAGTTGAGGGCGGACGTAATGGTATCGACCTTGCGGCCTCCTTTGAAACGAAACTATCCGTTCTGAGTGCAGCCCGATTCTCCCTTATTTTCTCGCTCTGTTGCTTTCGAGGAGACCGCTTTGTTGCTGACCTCTACGTGTGTCTCTCTCGCATGGCAGGTACCAACTCAACCCGGACCGCATCAAGGATGAAGTCGTTACCAACGTCCTTGTGAAAGCCATGACGCAGTTCCCCTCCGCCCAGTTCGCCCTTGCACTCCACCTCATTAACCCCTCGGCGGCCGCGCAGGGCGAGCTTGCCGAGGCTGTCGCCAAGCTCCGCACCCTGAACTCCCAGCTGGAAGGCGCCCAGTACGCCCGCTTCTGGAACGCCGTGGACGGCGACGACCTCGTGGCCGACCTCATCGCCGATATTGCCGGCTTCGAGGACATGATCCGGCAGCGAATTGCCGTCCTCGTCTCCCAGGCCTTCCGCGAGGTTAGCCTCACGCAACTCGAGTCTTGGCTCGGCCTCAGCACCGATGCCACAACCCAGTTCGTCACCGAGGTGGCGGGCTGGAAGGTCGGCGAGTCGGGCACCGTGTCGATCCCTAGCAACCCTGACAATGAGGCGAAGAAGACCGAAATCAGGGAGGACGTCAATGTGGAAATGTTCTCAAGGGTTATCCGGAGATCATGGGAGGAAGTTGCCTGAAGTGGAAACTCGAAATGATATGTAGGTTTCCGGCAAGGGATATGGACATCATGACGGCAAATTAACGGCGTTATTTTTTACTTAGCTTTTTCACTGAGCTATTTGGAATCTGGGTTGGGGCCGGGGGCCCGGGGCCGGGGGCCCGGGGCCGGAGGGTTAAGATGGGGATTATAGACGCCCAGGCACGAGGAATGCGAAAAGTCTTGCATGATATTCTGCTCTGGATTGTGACTTGCTTTTCCGGTGCAAATTTTTGATCTTCAAGGGGATATGAACAGCCATTTTGATGCGCAAAGAAGAAAAAAAGCCTCCCAGATATCAGTTTGTCGCCAGCTCCTCCCACTGCACTCCGCACCATTCCTCAAGATAACCCACCTCACCAACTTCCACCCCTCTTTGCACACAATCTGCCTCGCAGACCCCGACTATGATGGTCCCCCAATCCATGCCATCAAGTCCAAGCTCGTCGGCTTCCAGCTCCGTAATGGCTTGTGGTGTAAGCTGCAACTCGAACACGCGGCCCGCACCGCAATTCCCACACCGCGGCATCCCACTCCTCCCCGTCCCCGCCGCCGCCGAAAGCACCCTTCCGACAGAGTCGTCCTTGGAATACAGCAAAGGCTGGCCGCCAAACTCGTACCGGATCACTTGGTCCGGGTTCTGGGCGAGACGGTCCGCGAACTTCTGGAAGACGGCATCCATGGAAGATTCGAAGGTATCCTTGTCGATGCCGGCGCCGGCATCGCCCGCAGACGAATCGTCTACTTCCATGCGCACGTTCTGCGGGATCTCGGGGGGCTCGGGGTCGAGGACCTCGAGCTCGGCGTCGGATATGTAGGAGACGGGGTACGGTTTGGGGAGGGCGGAGGACTCTGGCCATGGCTCCGGCGGAGGAGGCGGACCCGAAGGCCGTTGGGTGTTGTGCAGGTTGAGAGTTTCCGCAAAGGTCTTGGGCAGAGATGCGGCTGCGTCTGTCGTCGTCTCGGGTCGCGCGGGCTCGGCTTGTTTCGCCGGTGTCGACGGTGCTGCGGCGGCGGCAGCGGGGGGGCTCGAAGTCGCCGCCGACGTGGCAAAGGGGTTGCTGCTCACACCGCGGTTCCCACCCGTGCTGAACGGATTCGCAGAGGTCGCAAAGGGGTTCGCCCCGCTCTCTGGTCCGCCTAGCGGCTTTGTGCCGAAGAGGGCCTCTCCCAGACCCGGCCCATCAGCCTTCTTGGCCTTCTCTGCTTCTTTCTTGGCCTGCGCTTCTTCTGCCTCCTTCGCAGCGGCTTCTGCTGCGGCTGCCGCCGCCGCTTTGTCTATCCTATTGCCGCGGAGTGCCCGGACACTGCCCTGCTTGCGGCGACAGGTCTGTTTTCGGCATGAGAAAACGTAGAGTCGGCGGTCGTGCCCGGGGAACCTCTCGAGTTCACCGTTCAGTTGCAGGAGCAGGACCATCAGATCCTTACATGCGCCGCACCTCGCTAATGAGGCTGACGGAGGCTTATCCGGGTTCAGCCACTCCTATTCAGCGTTTCGTTAGTCAACCTAGAGAATCGAGGGTCCATGAAAGAAAGCTATGGGATCACAGCATACCGGGATGCCACCCAGACGACTGATGGTGTCATCCTCTGGATCGTTGGACGCATATCCGAGAAGTACACTTGTCTCAGTGTACTCCTGCTCGAAATCAGAGTCACTATCGTAGGATGCCATGGTTGTACTGTCAAAGTCGCAAGATGCCTCCTTGCCCAGACTTCAAACAGTTGGGCTTGACGTGGGGCACATAATTTTTCTAATCGGTACCATCGCGGGGTTCGTTATCTTATCGCTCCGCCCATGTCATCGCCAAGTTCACGCTTGAACGCGGAACGAAGAGCTACACATTTTTTCTTCGCTTTGCCTGGACCTACATCCTTTTTTTTTTTTTTGGTGTGTGTGTGTGTGTGTGTGTGTTGACATGTCCAGGACATTTGAGTAGACTCAGAGTCAAAAGAGATTCCTAAAAATCATAAGAGCCGCGTCGCCGCTTAAGACAGACGCTGCCGCAAGAGGTACAGAATACCTGTTCTATAGGGGGATTGCTTGGGCGGAAACGGACGGGGTGAAATGATAGACGGTTAGGTGACATAGTCTGATAGGTAAGACCGTGTAAGGAGTAGATAGTTGAAGTTGACGCATAGAGGCTCCATGGCATCTGAGACACGAGATGGATATCATTCCAGGTGAGTGACACGTCTAACAAGTACAGGCCCTTTTTTATCTACCGTACCCGTATCCCATCGACCGGCATGTCCTGCTTGCTATCACCTTACTCCTCCGGGCCGTCCATGCCGGGACCCGGACCACCTTGCCTGCCCATCTGCCTGGCCTTGAGCAGTTCATCGCAGAGCAACAGATTCGACGCAATGCCGGAGCTGGAGGCGACGCAGTTACGTAGGACCCGGAAGGAATCGAAGACGCCCTCCAACTCGGGGTCCATGGACTTGCCAGTGCTGAGGTCGAGACCAACCACGTTGCCATCGGCATACTCATCTTGCAGGTCCGCGACTATGTTTGGGTTAGCCCATGGTCTCAATGGAAGGGGAGGAAAAAAAGAGAGAAAAGAAAAAAAGGAAGACAAGAAAAGACGAAAAGGGTGCAAAACGTACGGGCATCCTGAACATCATGGCCAGCATTGGCAGCAAGAGTCTTGGGAATAACGAGCAAGGCATCAGCAAACGCCTCGACTCCCCACTTAGCCTTGCCCTTGACCGTCTTGGTGAACGCATCGCTCTTCAGGTGCGCCGCGCAAGCGACCTGGAATGCACCGCCGCCAGGAACCACGCTCTTGTCGACGATCATGTTGTAGACGCTGCGCAGACCGTCGCGGACGGCATCGGTAACCTGAGTGATCGTGTGGGCATTGGGGCCCTTGATCAGAAGCGTGACAGACTTGGCATCCTTGACATCCTCGATGAAAGTGTACTTCTCCTCACCCAGCTGTTGCTCGTACACGAGACCGGCCCAGCCAAGAACGTCCGGGGTGAGATCCTCCGTGCTGTTCTGGGCCACACCTCCGCAAATGAGCTGAAGCCTCTCCATGTTCCTCCTCTTCGCCCGCCGCAGCGCCAGGATGTTGTTCTTCGCAAGGACGTCCAGCGACAGGGGATCGATGCCCTTCTGGTTGATGACGACGAAGCTCTTGTTCGGGTCGTTGCCGCAGACCTCCTTCTTCAGCTCGACGATCTTCTTGAGTTTGGCATCCACGAACCGGCGTTCGCTCTCGACAAGCTTATCCCGCTGCTCGGCGCTCGAGTAGTAGAAGCCCGAGTTGATCTCCGTCTTCTCGTACTCTAAGCTCACGTTCAGCGTCAGGATGTAGGCGTTCTCCAGCCGCTTCGGCATGTCGGGGTGCCTGGCACCGTGGTCGAGGGCGAGACCCTTGATCAGCCGCGTATCAGAGGCTGTCCTGTGCTGCATCTTCATGATCTCAATCATGTGCAAGTCGGGCTTGGCAGGGGCTTGGTAAATGGCCAAGACGGCGTCGACAATATCTGCAGTCAGCTTAGAAGCGAGGCTACTGTCGAGCTTGGTGGCCAGAGAGGTGCGGGCGACGTTAAGAAGGAGCTCGCGGTCCGCCTCCTTGGGGAGTTTGAACTGGTCCAGGAACTGTATGACCCAGTTAGCCCAAGTGCGCACGTATATGAGTCGTCAGTCGTCGAAGAATATCCCACCTTCAAAGCCTCGTTCTTCGCAATCTCAAAGCCATCAGTTATAACGCGGGGGTGCAGGCCCTCCGAGATGTATCGATCGGCTTGCTTCAGAAGCTCTCCAACCAACAGCACCACCGAGGTCGTACCGTCTCCGCAAATGTCGTCCTGCGCGGTGGCGGCGCGGGCAATCATCACAGCCGTCGGGTTCTGTATTTGCATCTCTCTCAGAAGAACGTTTCCATCCTTGGTGAGTTTAATCTGGCTCCGTTCGTCAGTATGCCCACTCGTATTCTCGGAGAGGGGAGTGTAGGGGGGGAACACTCGTACTTGTCCAGCGCCGTCAACAAGCCTGCCAACTGGTTAGAGATAAGAACAACAAAAGTTATGATGGTAGAAATGGGAGTATACTTGCATCTTTAGGGTGCCCATGGGGCCCAAGTTGGACTTGAGCACATCTTGCAGACCCTCGCCAGCACTGATGTTGACCTTCAACGCTTCACCCCGCCGCTTTTGTCCGTTAGCAGTGGCGCTGACAATGCAAGGAGGGACAGGTTCGACGTACTCTTGACTCGGCCTTCGGATTAAGCAACTGTGCTGCAGACATGATGACAGAGATAGATGGCCGTCTTCTAGATGGCCTGTGGTGTTCGTGGTGGTTGCTCGTCGGGGGCTCTGTTTTAATTACTTGCCGACGACGGTATTATTGGGTGCCTTTCCTGCTGTACTTCGCAAGTGACCCTAGCGCCTTGTTAGAAGCTCCAGCCAGAGTGCGGGAACTTTTTTCTGCCCTGTGAAGGCGGTGACCTATAGTGGGGTCGGTGTATAGCCAATAAAAGTGTTATCTTGGAACCGGTAAGCATGGACACCTAAGGTACCTAAGGTAAGGTAGCTAACATTCAATGTTCCACGTGATTACGCGCACTGACACGGTAGCATATTGTATAGCAACGCTAGTATCTATGGCGGCGTGTAACACAATAAAAGCAAACACCTAATAATCATGGCTGTCAGCTTCAGCCAGACACCCCCCTTTTCTCATCCACCCATCTCTTCCTATTCATTCGCTTCAATCCGTATCATGTCGTAATAAACTTACCCATTCCTTTCATACTCGACGTTCTCTTACACCCTTTCTACCGCTCTCTCTAATATTAAAATTAATATTCATCATGTGGTCTCAGTTATCGAGCCTTCTGTCGGCTTTCAGTCTTACTACTGCCTCTGCAGGCACCATTGCAGACGACGGAGTGAGACAAGTTGCAGTCATTGGTTCGTTCTCTCCATGCTCATACGATATATGATCTCCTCTCATGTAGACCTTCTTTACATCGATGGCTCTGTGGTCCTCCATAGCAGGCTTCACTGGCTCAACCTCGAATTTCCCATGGCTGATGCGCGGCTAACTGGTTTTAGGTGCCGGGGCTGGTGGATCTGCGACTGCATATTATCTCCAGCAGTTTGCCGAGCAGGCGGGTCTGGCTGTCAACATCAGTGTCTTTGAGAAGACTGGGCGTGTTGGTGGTCGAACCCTGACCGTCAATGCGTACGATGAGCCGCTGGAGGCCGTTGAGCTTGGCGCATCCATTTTCGTTGAAATAAATCAGATTCTCTTCAATGCGACCCAGGAATTCAACCTTGCTCTGAGAGAGCCTGATTCGGCCGCAGAAGATCTCCTTGGCATCTGGAATGGCGACAACTTCGTCTTTACTCAGGATTCCCAGTCCTCGGGCTGGTGGAATCTCGCCAAGTTATTCTGGCGATATGGAATGGCCCCTTACAAAACCCAGAAACTCGTGCAGTCCACTCTGCAGACTTTCATGAACCTCTACGAGGAGCCGTATTTTCCTTTTGTGTCTTTAACCCAGACACTTGGAGAGCTGGACTTGTTGAAGATCACTGGCGTCACTGGCGCACAGTTTCTCGCCGAGAATGAGGTGTGTTCCATACCTTTCCCTTTTCCAATGCTCCACCACTTATTCTGACCCAATGAGACAGATATCGGAGGCCTTTGCGCGAGATATTATTCAAGCGGCGACCCGTGTGAACTACGCCTCCAACTTGGCGTACATTCACGGGCTTGAGACCATGGTCAGTCCGTCACATCACTCTAGGCCCAAGTAGCGCTGTATTAACGGCTTGTTAGGTCTCCCTGGCTCCGGAGGGTGCCGTACAGGTTGTGGGAGGCAACTGGCAAATCTTCGACAAGATGCTGCAGCACAGTAATGCTACGGTCCACCGAAACACGCAGGTCGGCTCGATTGCCTTTAAAAACAACACCGGGCCGGGCGCAGATGCCAAGTACGTTCTTTCGACCAGGCCCACCGGGTCCGATGCCGAAACAGTCGAAGAGCACTATCCCATCGCCTTCGACAAGGTCGTCGTCGCCACACCGTGGCAATTTGCCGATATTACTGCCAAGGGGGACGTCCTCCAGCAAGCCATCGACGAAATCCCCTACACAAAGCTGCACGTCACGCTTTTCTGCTCTCCCTTCCGACTGTCTCCCGGTTACTTCAACCTGCCCCCTGGATCTAAGACTCCGGACTCCGTCCTCACCACGCTGGGACCTGATGAGGTCCCCAAGGAAGGCGCTGCCGGAGGAGGCAAAGCTGGGTTCTACTCCATTAGCACCCTCAGGGCCATCACAAACCCGAAAACGCAGACGGAGGAGTACCTGTATAAAGTCTTCTCGCCGGAGAAGCTTACCCCGGAGTTCCTGTCAGCCATTCTCGGCGTCAAGGTTCCCGACACGTTCGTATCCGAAGACGGAAGCGCGGCCGTCGATGAAGAGGGTGCGGCCATCAACCCGGTGTCCTGGTACTATCCGCACGTCTTCCACTCGTATCCCATCCAGTATCCTCGTGTTACATTCCAAGACCTCGTTGTCGGCAGCGGGCTTTACTACACGTCGGGCATGGAGAGCTTCATCTCAACTATGGAAACGAGTGCTTTGATGGGAAGAAATATTGCTCGCTTAGTCACGGACGAATTAGCGACTCTGCTGGACGGCGAGACGCAGCAAAGCGAACCCGAAGTGCAGGAGGACCTGGCTCCTGTTCAAGATGGCCTTGGCCTGGGAAATGACACTATCCCTGACGAGCTCTGAACTATATGAGGTATGGCATGATAGTGTATAGTGTATTATATTACCCGCGGATTTACTTTTTTTTTAATCAGTTATTTTGACATTTTATCTTCTTCTCTTTCGGCTTCAATAGAAATTATACACCGTGGTTATGCCTTGTTCACCCTCGGAATCACACACAAGCCCATCCCATTGCTATCATGCAACTTCGGACCTTCGTGCACCTATCTGAAGCTGAGGACCCATCCATCCAGAAGTGGCTACTGGCTTCTGAATAAAATTACGCGCTTGTCCCCGACAGCGACCTGAGGGGAGAGCCATGTCACCAATCACCTGAATTGCGCTGCAGCTGATTCGCTTGTTAGCGACGAAGGATTGCTGAGAGGCTTCTACTCCCGAAAGGACTGCAGCATTGCGCATGCCTCGGGAGAAACCCCGCTACCTTGTCTTTTAAGGGTCCACGCTGCCCAACACTCAGACTCACGTTCACGTTCACGCTCATGTCATCTGTTTCTGCTTGGGTTTGTATGAAAAAAGCCTCCTCTCAGAACCAGCAAAATCGGAAGGCCCTCTCACGATGTCAAGTTCAACCACCTGTAAAAGATGTCTCGCCGCCTTCACGCCGGCCGGGATCAAAGCCATGATAGAGGCGCGGCCGGGGTATATCCACCACGTGCCAAAAGACTTAGAAGCGAGTGCGAAACGTGGCTGTGGTTTTTGCAAGTTGATCCTCGAGCAGGAGACACTGGGACGAATCGATGACACAAGCTACAAATATATCGTGCTCTTCGCAGAGGAAGATGAGCCTGGCCAGAGTTCGTCTATGACAACACTCGCAATCTGGCCGTATCCTCGGCAGGATATGTATGCCGATATGGTGGTTCTCAACCTCAGCCTATTCACTCCTGCAAGTATGGTCCCTACCCAACACGGCTCATGTGGGAGAAAGATGACACAACGCACCTCTTCTGTTCTGGTACCCTGGGAGGAGACATATAAGGGATGGGGCGAACGATAACCGACGGATCCAAGTGTACTGATCTCCAACAGGCTCTCCCATCAGCTCGTTCTTCACTCGTCGACCGATCGAAAGCGACGTCATGGCACCTCATGTGATGGCAGCAGCGAAGAAATCCATCCTCGAGTGTCAAAAGGGCCATTCTCAGTGCGGAAAATCCGCCTCCCTTCCCCGGCTTCCCGTCCGAGTGCTGGACGTCAGTGAGGCTCAGCGCTCGTCAACCATCCGACTCTACGTGACCAAAAAGACCGGCGAGTACGACAACTACGTCACGCTCAGCTACTGCTGGGGCGGCCCGCAGCCGATCGTGGCGACCAAGGCCACGTTGAAGCAGCTGCAGACTGGCATCCGGGCGGCATCGCTCCCGCAGACGCTCCAGGACGCCGTCAAGGTGACGAGCGCACTCGGCTTCCGGTATCTCTGGGTCGACGCGCTGTGCATTGTGCAAGACGACAACGTCGACAAGATGAACGAGATCGGCAGCATGGACCAGGTGTACGGCAACTCGACGCTGACGATTTCGGCGGCCGTGGCGGCGACGGTCCGCGAGGGATTCGTGAAGTACCCGCGGAGGGAACCTTTCGTCGCGGTCCCCGCCGAGCTCCCGAACGGGAAAAAGGGCGACGTGTTCGTCGCGCCGTGCATAGAGGCCGACTTTGCCGACCTGCCCCTGCAGACGCGGGGCTGGACCCTGCAGGAGTGGCTCCTCCCCTCGCGCATCCTCTTCTACGGCGACAGGGAGCTCGTGTTCCAGTGCCGCACGGCCGGCACCCGCGGCGTCTGTCCGAGCTACATGTCCTACGACACGGCCAACCGGAACACGGGCCGCATCGTGGATCACAGGCTGCGGATGCCGAGCGCGGCGGAGAGGGGACGCCTTTGGCTCCTGTTTATGAGGGAGTTCTCGGCGCGGCAGCTGACGGTGGCGTCGGACCGCATGAACGCCATGATTGGTATCCAAAAGGCCCTGTCGTCCTCCTGGAAGGACGAGTGCATAGCGGGCTTGTGGAAGAGCACGTTCCCCGTGTGTCTGGCCTGGGAGTGCAAGATGAGGGTCAAGCCGGCGCCGAAGGGGAGGACGGGATGGGCGCCCAGCTGGTCGTGGTTGTCCGTCGACACGCCCGTCACGGCCGACCTTGATTTGTTTGACGGCTTGGACGGGACGGATGCCCAGGTGCTGGCGGTGTCCAAGTCGGAGATCAAGATAAGGTGCCGCGTCCTACCAATGGACAAGATCAAGCCCGCTAGGACGTACTACAAAGATATAGAGGGCGAAGCTAAGGGGAAGAAGGAGATGGGGCTGTTCTTAGGGGTTGTCTTCGAACGAGGACCAGGAATCAACAAGGTCAAGTTGCTGGTGGTGGTTGAGGATGCAAGCAGAAAGGGGGTCTTTCGAAGAGTCGGGGTAGCTAGTTGGCGTGATTTTGTTGATTGGAAGCCATATGTAAAGAAAGATGTGATAATCATGTAGATGCAGATGAGTGTATCAAGAGAGGAGGAAGACGGGGAGAATGGACGACACGGATGCAGGAAATATGAGAAATCTGCCGCTACTCTTAGAAAACTGTTGAGAAAGCTCCTGTACGCGAGGTTAAAGAAGAGTCGGGATTGCATTGATCCCATTCCTTTCCAAGTGCTCTTCTTTTTGTATCATGGTAATGTTTCAAAGAGGTTCAGGTATAGGATGTTCTTGATGCGATGATATGTGGTGGTGTTGTTGTTACGACGATATGTTGTGAAGGGTGCAGATGACTTTGTGGTACCTAAGGTACCTTAGTGTGAAGTAGGGATACTTGTAGGGATACTTGTAGGGATACTTGAAGGGATACTGTAGGGATACTGTAGGGATACTGTAGGGATACTTGTGGATTCTTAAGGTAGTCCACGGTGGTTATACCATGTGGCGAAAGCACGCACAGCCACATGTTTTTAGTGTGTTGTTACCCCGCTATTCCACCAACCAAAGTTCGCGTTCTACATTATGACGCAGCAGCCTACCAAGACCTATCTTTCCACAAGTGGCACGGGTATTCTGCCTGGAGTCACCGCGTGCTTCTGCCTCCTACTTTATCATGCCTTACTTTATTTGTCCTCCATCCCACTACCTCGTCACTTACCCTACCCGTTATTAATTCTACTACCTTTACGCGAGGCCATCAAGCCATGAGAAGGAACCGCTAAAGAGCGTACAATTCCTCTCCTTCTCATCACGCAAAACCTCATCTAATCATAAACTTCATCTGACAATGTTTGTCCTCCGAAACGGTAAGTCTGCCCCGCTTCAAATTTAGAGCTGGTCGGCGGTTGCCCCGGACACACCCTGAGGTCCTTATGCATACACATTACACAACATCAGCCATCGATTTCTTTTCTTCTCTTTCTTTTCTTCTCTTTCTTTTCTTTCTTTTCTTCCTTTTCTTCCTTTTCTTCCTTTTCTTCCTTTTCTTCCTTTTCTTCCTTTTCTTCCTTTTTTTTTTTTTTTTCCTTCCGTCCCAGACTCAAGAGGACAAACGCACTTTCTCGAGATCGCCCTACTAACTATCCTTCGTTTCCAGTCGGCAAGCTCATCTTCGGTTCCAGTAACCAGGAAACTCTGCTCGAGCTTCCCCAAGGTCAACTCTACCTTGTCAGACCCCTGTCGCCTAAAGGCTATTCCGAGCTCATCTTCAAGGACGCAACCGCCCAAATCCGACGAACCGGCCAGGACTTCCAATACCAGCTGGTGGTGCAGAGGGTCTACGAAGAAGGCGAGGCTGAACTGCTCGGTGAGGAGGAAGGAGAAGACGCCGACATCGACGCGCTGGCCGCCGAACGTGACGAGAAGACCTTCCTTCTTGACGAGGCCTTACACTTCCGTGTTGAAATCCGCGAGGGCTCCGAAAAGGTTCTCGCCTGGCGCGATCTCAGCGGTGATAAGGGTGACGTCTTCGAGTTTGTTTGCGACAGCTCCGTGTCCTCCTCCCAGGTCGAAACGTTTGACCGCGTCGCCAAGGAGTGCCAGTACGAGCGCAAGTATCGGAAGCCTCATACAACGGCTTCCGACGAGGACCTCTCTCAGTTCGACTTCCACGACGAGCCTGCCATTCCTCCCGCCAGCCCCATTCACAGCCCTACTCTGACCCGCTCCATCGAGTCCGCCGACGCCATGTTCAGGACCCCCAGGAACACGGCCAACACGGCCAACACGGCCGCCAAGCGGGAGCGTACCCCCCCGTCTCCCACTGAACAGAAATCCGAGAAAACCCACCAGCCGCCGGCTTCAAGTGCCGCGCCAGATGCCTTGAACACCTACGTCTCGGTGCCGGCTGAACTACACTTTTACGATTTCCCCTCGGGTGCTTTCGTACAGCAAGATGCGTCGGTCACCGCCACCGTTACCGAGGTTGGGAAATGGCAGTATTGGCTGCAAGTCGAAGGCAAGGATCGCGATTGGCTGGGAATCCCCATTGTCGCAGATATCAACCCAGTCTTCAACTTCGAGTTCCTCTCTTTCATCTTCAACCAATTCACCCCCGAGGGATCAGCATACTCCTGGCTTCTGCGGTTTAAGGACCAGACAACCATGGAACAGTTCCAGGAGGGTCTTCTCCGCTGCCTCTGGGAGCAGCTCAACGAGACCAAGTGGGAAAAGGTGAAGGTAAGGGAGCAAGAGTACATCACCGATGCGTTCAACGATTTGCCCATGGACGACACCGTCGACGAAGAAGAAGAACAAGAGGAAGAAGAAGAGGAGGAGGAGGAGGAGTACGAAGATGCGGATGACGGCCAAAAGAGCGAGCACTACGATACGGATGAGGGAGAAGACGACGTGGTCACCAAGGACAAGGACGGCCATACCAATTCTCAGCTCGCCGTTGGCTATAAGCACGATCGGTCCTTTGTCGTTCGTGGTTCCAAGATTGGTGTCTTCAAGCACACCCCAAACAACAACCTCGAATTCTCGACCAACATCTCCAAAGTCGAGACACCGAAGGGTGTGCTGTTCAGCCCCAAGAAGGTCATGCTGCACAACGAGGACCGCAGCATGATTCTCCAACACAAGACGGACCCCAACAAGCTCTATCGCATGGACCTCGAGTACGGCAAGGTAGTGGACGAGTGGCAGGTCCACGAGGACATCCCCGTCGTGACCTTCGCGCCCGAGAACAAGTTTGCTCAGAGGACGCATGAGCCGACATTCCTCGGCGTTTCCCAGAACGCCCTCTACCGCATCGACCCCCGCTTATCGGGTGATAAGCTGGTCGACTCGCAACTCAAGCAGTACGCGTCCAAGAACGACTTCTCGGCCATGGCCACTACCGAGAAGGGCTACATCGCCGTGGCGTCCAACAAGGGAGACGTCCGTCTGTTCGACCGCCTGGGTATCAATGCGAAGACGCACATCCCTGCCCTCGGAGAACCCATTATTGGCCTCGACGTTTCGGCCGACGGTCGGTGGGTGCTGGCCACCTGCAACACATACATCCTCCTCATCGACGCGCTGCAAAAGTCGGGCAAGAACGAAGGCAAGCTAGGGTTCGAGAAGCCCTTCGCCGCCGCAGACAAGCCCCAGCCCCGTCGACTGGCCCTGACCCCCGAACACGTCGCCCAGTTCGCCCACGAGACGGGCAAGCCGGTGCGCTTCACGCCGGCGCGCTTCAACACGGGCGAGGGCACCGAGGAGACGAGCATCATCACCGCCACCGGCCCTTACATCATCGAGTGGAACCTTAAGAAGGTGGTCCGCGGTGCCAAAGCCGCGTACCTGATCAAGAGGTACGCCGAGGACGTCAAGGCCGACGACTTCAAGTACGGCACCGACAAGAACGTCATCGTCGCCCTGCCGAACGAGGTCAACATGGTGGGCAAGCACAACCTGAAGCGTCCCACGCGCGAGAGCATCGCGGGTGACTTTGCTCGTCTCAGCCTGAGTGGTGGTCGGAAGAGCTCGGGGCGGATCGGGACCCCGGTCAGCGGGAGGTATAAACTTGGAAGGGATGAGGTGGTGAACTCCCCCTATTGAGTGGGCCGGGATAGGGCATCTTCCGTCGACTACATCTTCGACGGGGCACCATCCATCGCCCGCTTCTTCCGGGGGTTTCTTCCTCCCCTTATGTTTTCCCTTTTCTTTGCTCACAGCTTTCCTTTTATCTTTCCTCTGCTTTGTGATTTAGGGCGAGGGGGGGGGCGGGACGGGGAGTTTTCTTTGAGCCGCTGCTTGCTTTAGATACCTTACGTGCCCTCGATGACGTCTGTGGGTACACGCAACTGCGAGGGGCAAATGGGCGGAATGGGCTGTGCCTTGAAGGGCTTTATGTTGATATATGGTTATGCGTGAAGGGACGTCGAGGTCCCTTCCCCGTGGCTTTCGATTCACCGTGGCTTTTCGTCTGTGTCATTTCGTTAATTCCATACCTTAGTGTAATCCCATGTGGTAGTGATACTGCTTGAAACGTCTCAATGTAGGGTTCTTCCTTTCTTTAATTTTTTTTTATTTTTTTTTACATGTTTGTCACCCCTTGTCATGTTCTTACCGTGGTAGCCACGACAGATTCTGAACGAAACCATGTCGCCAGTATCCAAGAAGCCCCCGGGTTTCGGAGTGCGTGGCAGTACCGACCGGCTGGTAAAATGTAATACGGCACTATTAAACAACTTCGATATTAAGTAAATACACGATATAGCTTCATGCATGGAATGTTTTATTTCAACGCCAATTGCCTTGGAACGCCCTGCTGAGGGGAGAGACCCGTTCGTGAGAAAAAGACCACTAATACTTGCTGTCCCCTATTTTGCTAAATCCTGTTCTCTGAATTTCCGGAAAAGACCCAATCAATGACTCCTACACCCGTCCCCCCAGTCGGTAAATGCAACTTCTATGGATCATGGTAACTTCCCGTCCTCTCGACAGTTTGTCCATCTGCCATCTGCGGGTTTCTCTGGCGAACAAACCGCAAGTGGGCCAACCATCTCACGCATCGGCACCTTCCTTATTAGTATCATCGGCGGGATCAGCGGCGGCAGCATTCTTCACAGAGGAGGCAGCGACAGCAGCAGCGGGTTTTACGGTGTTTTCAAGTGCGCCAGTGATGGCGCTGACACCCGAGGCGACGACGTTGCCGCTGATGTTGCGCAGCGTCTTCGGGCGGGCGGCGTCGGAGAGGCGCGTGAGCTCGGCCACGAAGGACTGGCCCCACCAGGCCGAGGTGTACTTGAAGACGTAGCGCTCCAGCTTCTTGAAGTTGGCCTCGCGCTGCTCGGGGGTCATGGTGACGGCGTCGCGGATGGCGTTGGCGAGCTCCTCGGTGTTCCAGGGGTTGACGATGAGAGACCCGGACAGGGATTGGGCGGCGCCGGTGAATTCGGAGAGGATCATGACGCCGTGGCGCTCACGCTGGGTTGCGATGTACTCGTAGGAGACCAGGTTCATGCCGTCGCGGGTAGAGGACACGAGGCAGACGTCGGAGACGGCATAGAGGGCGGTGAGTTCGTCGAAAGAGACGGACTGGTGGAGAAAATGGATCGGCATGAACTCGATGGTGCCGAAACGACCATTAATGCGCCCCACAAGCTCGTTGACGACCGCCCGCAGGTTCTGGTACTCCTCCACGTCCTGGCGGGATGGGACGGCAACCTGGACGAGGACGATCTTTCCGATCCACTCCGGATGCTCGGTAAGGAAAACCTCAAGGGCGTGGAGCTTCTGGGGAATGCCCTTGATGTAATCGAGACGGTCGACGCTAACAATCAGCTTGACGCCCTCGAACTTCCTGGACAGGGCCTCGATTCTCCGCTGGACGACGGGCTTCTTGAGCCCCTCGACGAACTTTTCGGGGTCGATGCCAATGGGGAAAGCACCGACGGAGACGAAGCGGCCGTTGAATTCGACGCCGTTGGGCGTGGTCGGAGCGGATAGGATACGGGAGCAGGACGACAGGAAGTGGCGGGCATAGTCGTAGGTATGGAAGCCGATCAGATCGCAGTGAAGAATGCCGACGAGGAGTGCCTCGCGGACTGGCAGGATACGATAGACTTCGGAGCTGGGGAACGGAGTGTGGAGGAAGAACCCAATCTTGACATTCTTTTTCGTGTCGCCAATCTCCTCACGCAGCATCTCTGGGAGGAGCATCAGGTGGTAGTCGTGGACCCAGATCATGTCGCCATCTTGGACGTCCTTGATGACTGTCTTGGCGAAGAGGCGGTTCACCTCCTGGTAGGCGCTCCAGGCATTTTCGTCGAAGGTGATCTCACCAGGGTGGTAGTGAAAGAGTGGCCAGAGGATGGAGTCTGCGGAAGAGAAAAGAGTCAGCATGTTATTTTCAAAATGGCAGGTTCACGGAGAAAACAATCGGCAAGACGGACTTGAGAAGCCATTGTAGTGGCGATCGGCCAGGTCGTCGTCAATGAACACGGGATGAGCATCGTACTCGTCCTTGAGACGCTGTTTCATTCCTGGAATCTCGGCCTCGGGAACCTCCAGGCCAGGCCAACCATACCACTGGAAGCTGGTGGTTTTGGAGAGACCACTCAACCCGGTGACCAGGCCGCCGGAGGACATGGAGAAAGTGTAATTCCCATCATCGGAGCGCTTGATTGTGATGGGTAGACGGTTAGACAGCAGAAGCAGACGTCCTGGAGGAGCGTCGTGTTCGACGAGAGCGGGCATGGTGGGCGAAGTGACGTAGTCGAATGGGTAACGATGCAACTTCGGAAGCCGTGAGTGAAGCGAGCGGACCGCTTGATGGGAGAATCAGCGTCGCAAGGCGTATTCGAAGATTGAGGGTCTGCTAGAGAAAATCGATTGGACCGAGTCGGTTGACACAAAAGCGTAGGAGGGAGGAATTGGTCGTTCGCACTACCGGCTCTTGACGACAGGCCCCGACGGGAACTACTTCGTAGAAGCCGTAGTACTTAGGACCGGGTCAGACTTAAGCTCAATCGTGGCAGTGGGCTGACGAACGACTGGAGACGAAGATCCAAGTCCTGGACACGGAGCAGGGAGACCAAAAAAAAAAAACTAGGGGGGTGGTGGAAGAGGGAAGAAAGCACAATATGTAGGTATGTACTCTGTTTTGGGCAATGGTGCTTTTTTGCGGCCTCCCCAACTATGATGGAAGTTCCAAAGACTTTGATGATGCGGAAATACGCAAAGTAAGAGGAGGGGGGATGCCAAAGAGGGGCAAAAAAGGCGGGGGCTTCGAGACGAAGGGAAGGACGACTGGTAGGAAGGTATACCTACTGGGCTGTGTGTAGTCTCCTTCTCAATTACGTCACTTGGTAAATACAACGTACCTCCGTAAGGCGATAAGATGGAACAAGGGTGGATAAAAACATAAAAACATTGGCAGGCCGCAAGCTGTTGATCGGTAGTAATTATTACCACATAACACTCAGTCCAGAAAGAACGCAGTAGGTACGACTAAAAGGTACCTATCGTAGCTATACAAAGCCAAGACACTTGGTAGTACAGGACTGTACGGATGTAAGAAAAAAAGCAACCGTCTTGGAGGCGAGGTGTACTCTATCAGGTTTCATTCCCGAAAACCCGAGTCGGAGATGTGTTCCCTAGACAGCAGGCCCAAGACGCCATTAGGAAACAATGGTAATATTGCGTGCTTCCGGAAATATCTAGAATAACCGAGGTATTATAATGCTAATATAATAATTTCTTCGTACGAGGTTTTTCTTCTTCTACGGGCTGTGTGTCGAAGTCCATCCGTACCCGATCCCGTCCGATCCTACTCTACGAATACAACATTGACCTTTTGTGACGGGAGCTAGATTGCTTTGTTCCGCCAAATCACACACAGACAGACACTGTTTCACATATGATACGGAGTAAGCTATGGGGCCTAGACTCGACTATGGCTGTCGGATGTGGTTCCCGTGAGCCAAATTCCATCACATTCTCCTGAGATCTCTTGGCGGGCTCGGCTCTACCTCGCACATTTCTTTCTATATCCTGTCGTTTGCATGGCTAAAATAAAAATAAAAAGAGAAAAAATAAAAAGAGAAAAAAAGAGGGTAAATGGAATGATAGCCGGACAGGCAGCAGTGTGAGGTTAACTAGTCGTTTTGTTCCCCATGAATTGGATGGGAAAATACGGATACAGACCTCAATCGTTGGCCATGGGTTTCTTGTACTCCGTACGGCGACGCGGCACAGAGAATGGAGGTCTGCATGATACCGAATGATTAGAACAACTTTTCGTCATACCGAGAAGACTAACAGGGGGGTTCCCGTCAATCTTTCGCGCCGCCATCGACACAAGCGTCTGATCAGACAGACAGGGAACCCAGGGGTGGGGACATGCTTTAGATATTCCTGCCGCCAGCTACATTATTCGTACAATGTCCATCCGGGCACTTGACGTGGGTATAAGATAATTACGGGAAAGTGAAAGTGAATATGCCTGTTCTTCAATTTTGAGGGTCGCACTCCTCCAGTGGGTGTTGTGCATCTTTTTCATCCGAGTCTGCAACTCGAACGCTGCTTCCAGCCCAATCGTTTCTCCACGCCTGCAACGTACACGCTTTTTAGGAGCATGTCGTCCACGAGCCCCACCCCCTACCCTTCTTACCTCTCCTCCAGTAATGCACAGGACGATGGAGTACGGATAAATTACCTATCCATCAATGTGAGATTCACTTCGGGTTACCTTTCCTACGGACCATCCACTCGGGATGAATATCGGTCAAGATCATCATGATACGGATAGTAAACCATACGTACAGCCGAACTACTCCGTATGGCTCCGTCAATCCGGTCTCACCATACTCATCGGTGAATATATGTCGGTGAGCTAGCTTCACCGAAAATAAAGTCAGGTTTACCGATATGTCGCTTCAATTACGGAGTACGAAGTGACCCCTCAGAAAACACGCTAGTCTTAATCCGGCTCCCGAATACCTGGGTACCTACCCAAGGTACCCAGCATGCATTATGATGAACAAAAAAGCTGTCTGTTGAAAACCCCACACAAAGCCAGTGTTCCAGTTGTCCAGAAACACGCGTCTCGACACCACTATCCAAGTATTCTGCGCAACAGCAGAGGCAAGGTGCATCGAGTGTCCCATACCCTTTATGCCGCTAGTCAATGCAAGCCTGTTACTTTATTCACTTGTCATCTGATTGTTATCTGCCTAATGGCCCCCTCTGATAAGAAGCTCGAGGCTGAGCTACGTAATGCTGTGCGCGAAGTTGCGCGTAAGAACAGAGAAGATCTGACTGTCAACAATGTCCGCAAACTCGTGGAAGAGAAACTAGCTCTAGTGCATGGGTTTTTCTCTTCCGAAAAGTGGAAAGCACGAAGCAAGACACTAATAAAGACTGTTGCGGTAAGTTGTTACTGTTGACGCGTCTTCAACTATCGTCCAACTGGGCATTCGGCATAGGGAAAGCAAGTAGCTTACAACTACATCAGGAAGACCTCGAACACGAGAGCCAGCCAGCGTCGTCCCCCGTGAAGAAGAAGCAGGAAGATACACCGGTCAAGAAAGCCATCAAGCGACAGTCACCCGAGTCATCGCCCGCCCCCAAGCGTAGGAAGAACGCCGCGGCGCTGCCAGAAGAGAGCGACGATGACGCGAACGTCGAGGAGCATCCCAGCCCCAAGAAGAAATTGGCTGTACGACGCAGAGGACGTCAAGTGGCCGAGTCGGACGAGGAGCCCGACCGTCCTGCCAAGTCGAAACCGGTGCGCGGTCGCAAAGCTACAAATGGCCGTTCGCGAAACGTCGAAGAAGACGAGGAGTCGGCTGGCGATGAACTGAACGGTTCCGCAGAGGGAGACTGTGAGCCCGCACCCGTTTCCAAACCCAGAAAGAAGCGCAAAGCAGAACCCGCACCTAAGAAGCAAGCCCCGAAGAGGAGGAAAGCGGTGTCGGAGGATGAGGAAGAAGACGAGGAAGAGGCGGAGGCGGAGGCGGAGCCTACAGAGGAATCTAGCCCGCAGCCAGATCTTGTAGACGAGTCCAGCGAACTTTCAGACGTGCTTGACGTGCCGCCCGAGCCGAAATCCGAGAAAGGCACCCCCCCTGCCGGGAAATCGTCCAAGCCGTTGCAAGCCAACGACGCGTCCGCGCCAGACAAAGTCAACGACTCCCCCGCGGCAGGAGAGGGCGAGCCGAAGCCATCCATCGAGGACGAATCGAGCGAACTCTCCGACGTAATCGACGAACCCCCGAAACCGAAGCGCGGCAAAAAGCAAAGCGTCACCGCCCCCACCGCCGCGACGACCTGGTCGCGCGGCAAGAGAGGCGGCTCGTCCTCCCACCCGGAGCGCGAGCGCCCCGACGATGCGGAAGTGAAAAAACTGCAGTCGCAGCTCGTCAAGTGCGGCGTGCGCAAGATATGGGGCATCGAGCTGAAGCAGTACGGCGACGACGCGCGGGCCAAGGTCCGGCACCTCAAGGACATGCTCCGCGACATAGGCATGCCAGGGCGCTTCTCCGAGGCCAAGGCGCGCGAGATCAAGGAGCGGCGCGAGCTGGAGGCCGACCTCGAGGCCGTCACGGCTATGAATGTCACCTGGGGCGCATCTGACTCGCGCGGCGGCAGACCTACGCGGGGCAGGGGTCGGCTGAAGAAGGTGCCGAAGGAGCCCAGCTCCGATGAGAACGACGGAGAGGCGGTGGAAGAGGGGAAGAACGCCCGCAAGGTTGGGGATGGGGACGGAAGCGACGACAATGAGGATGAGGATGAGGCACCGGCCGTTTCAGCGAAAGCCAGGGGACGGTCGCGGGCTCAAGCGGATTTGGCGTTCCTGGGTGATGATGACGAGGATTCTGATTAAGCATGTCACATGATTTGTTTCCGGTACGGGATCTCTGGTTTGTTCAGTCTCTCGTTCTGGCTCTAGGCGCGAATTTCTTCATTGGTGCGTGCGAAAGGAAACTCACGGGTTTTCGGGAGAGAGCTGGGCGGATACGGGTGGAGAGGGCGTGGTCTGCCCCATGTTTTCGGGGTAAGCTGGTGTTTTATAACAGAATATGGGCTGAAGATACCCATAGCAGTGTCGACCACTCTTCCTAGCTGGGGGAGGCATCATCCAACAAGCCCCCGAGTTTATAAGGGGCAAGGATAACTCTCTGGGAGCATCATGGACACGGCAGTTTCTCAGGGACAAACTCAGGTCACGATAATTCATTCTCACATCAAGGCGGCAGCTTGTTTATTTTCAGTGTGTTTTTATTCCTAGGGTATCCCATCTACCTCCAGACAACATTGTGGGCACCAGCCTTCTATTTTGCCTCCGAAACATCAACCCCCTGGGCCCAAATCATGCGGCAGTTGGCACAAGATGACGACGAGCAAAGATATCTCCATATCCCACAGCGGTAAGTTAGGCCGCTTCTTCTCGAGGAAGAGCTAATTGACATGGTGGAGCATGACAAAACCAAGCGTAACCAGGAAAAGATACGCTGAGGTCTTTGCATTTTGGCCGGCATCGGACTGGTCAGTATCCTGGTCATCCTGGCCCTGATCCTCAGAATTCTCCCCGTCGTGCGAGCCACCGTTATCTTCAGGGCCATCCTCAGTATTGTCATCTTCGGGGCCATCTTCGGGGCCATCTTCGGGGCCATCTTCGGGGCCATCTTCGGGGCCATCTTCGGGATGGTCATCATCATGGTCACCGCCATTAGGGTTGTCGACATCGGGTAAAACGGAGGTACTGGAGGCAGCGCTTGGGGTAGCCAGGGTCAACGTCTGGCATACGACGACCGTGGTGGCCGAAGCGTTCGAGGTCGAATTGGTACCAATGGCATGGACTGGAAGGCACTGGTTACTTCCGCATGCGAAGCCTTCTCCGCAGAAGTATCCCTTCCCCTCGTCGCAGCATCCGAAGGCCCGAGGGATGCAACCTGGATGAGCAAACCAATCAGCGATCACATTACTCAAGTAAAGGTTCTTCCGTTGGTAAAAGGTTAAGGGCCCATGTGTGAAGATAAAAAGGGGTAGGAAGAGATCAAGAACTAAAGCCAACCAACTCAGAACAGGTGTAAATAAGGTACTTACGGCTCCCACACATGTGTCGACTCTCGTCGTCAATGCAGTCACCGGGAAGCTGGTCACAGAGCTGGCCAGAAGGGCAGCAGCCCCGGGGATGACAGTTCTGGCCGTTCTCGCAGTAGAGACCCATCTTGGCCTCGCAGCACTGCTGCTCAGGTCGCAGGCAGCGGTCACCGCAAGGGCGCGCACAGTCGAACATGTGCCACTCGCGGTTCTGAGGGCCAGCCTCCGGGCCGTGGAGGAGGCCGAAGGGGCTGAGCTGGCCCGGGTTCACTTCGAAGTGGTTGAAAGGAACCGTGTCGGCCATGACGATGGCCACGGCAATGTAGAGGAAGAAGGTAAGAACGTGCTTCCGGAGGTTGGTCATCTTGACGGTTGGGAAGATGGCCTGAGGGGTGGGGTGGCTCTTAGTGTTCTGCTCCTGCTTTGACGAGGGGCGTGGAGGTTAGTTGAATACCCGAAGAAATATTCTGCCTGCGGAAGTGTCGAGCTGCTGGGGATGGAAGATGGCACTGGTATATTATGATCAGACAAGGAGGTTTAGTTAGGCAGTCAAAAAGAATGAAGAGAGATGGATCTTGGTTACCTTGGAGATATATATATCTACGAGAAAAAAAACGTGAAGGGGTCAAGGGTAGGTGATCTATCCTGCTGGGAAACATGTTGTGGAAGGGACGAGACCATGGTGTCCGTGTTACTGTTAACCCGTCGTTGCTTCCTTCTCTGGTTAAAGAGGACCCTCTTTGGCAGGGGAAGTGAGGAAGGTACGGCCAAGTCGGCCGGGTTTAGTGCCTTCCTCTATCATCTTCATGAGTTGACCAGTGGTTATATTGTTTCTTTCTCACTTTCCTACTTTCTTACTTTCTTACTTTCTTACCTAGATACTTCACATAAGGTAGAAATATGATATAAGGTACGTAGACGGCAGGGTTTCTGCCCAGCTGGCTACCTACATATGTAAATTTCTACGGAGGGTGGGAGTAAGACCATCTCCTCTCCATCTCTTTGGTCAGATAGGTCTATGGGAAGTGCTGAGAGGTTGTGTATTGGCTCCCATGATCTCCTTGTGATGGACAGTGATGCCTTCGTTTCCTGGTGTTGCGTTAGCATCATTGATATGCGGTTGGGAAATTCACCAAGATACTTACCTTAGAGATCCGCTCACTTTGGTCCAGCCGGAGGCGATTCAAATGGCTTTAGACCCCAGTGAGGCGTTACTCCGTACCTTAGTTAGCCTGGTTGGACCCTGAAAAGGGGGAACATCAAGACCAAGCTATCGCTGCGTACTCTGCAGAGAGCCTCGAAACGGCCGCTTTAAGACGCACTAAGTCACCTGCTTAGCGAAAACAGGTATGCCATCTTGAGTTGTAGGACGAGACTACCCGGGATACCTTAGACTGGTATGGCATTACGTTGTAAGTTTAACCTGGCCTTCCAAGCTACGTCTTCCGAATGCCGGCGTCACATATTACCTTAGCCTTCGAACCATGACATGGGACAACCGCACCACTCAGAGTCCCGCAATGCCGGGCTAGGGTATTACTATTACATCTCGCGACAATCTCTACCTTACCTTAGAGAGATACCTAAGGTATCCCAGGGCTGCCTTACCTGGCTGGAGAACCTGGGGTGCTGAGGAAGATTTTGGGGAAATATACGTCTAAAATACCCCGCCATAATAATAACCATTATCATCGCATCCTCGCAGGCGCTCATCGTCGCCTTCCCCAAAAGCAGGCAGTAATTCGTTACTACTAAACTGAGGTAGAGGGGTAATACACTCGTGTTCCCCGCACTAACGTACCTACCTTAGTAGAAAACGCCAATTTGACCCCTCTCGTGTGGCCCTCCCTCCACTTAATTTTCATCATCGCTCGGCGGTTGGTAGTACCTCGCACAGTAGGCAAGGTTTCACGGCTCACGACAATCAGCCTGAATCCGGTAGACCGTGACATCCGTGGGGTAACAATCTTCCTTAATAAGGTACTCAGTAATTACTATGCCCGCTCACATGGTCACTTGGGATCCGGGGCCATCAGTCCACTGTTTGTACGGAATAGAAAGCCTATACCTATCTATACCTACCTACATAAGAGTGCATGTCCCCTCCTTTGCCCTTCACCCTTCCTGCCCCTTTCTGCAAAAGAGAACAAGCCTCTATTTTTACTCTCTACACCGGACCGTCCCCGGCCTGCTCATAGACGATCTAGTGTACCTGGGCACAGTTCTCCGTTCCAGTCCATCTTCACAAGGCCAAGACCATTGAACTATAACGTGACCTCACTCGACCCCTCGCCCGCCATGGCTGACGCTCCCTTCTCTTTCCTCCCCCTGGGTGCCATCATCCAGACCTTCAATGTAAAAGGCATCAACATCGTCCAGGGATTTCCGAACCAGGAGCTCTACGAGCAGCACAACTCGCCGTTCTTCGGCGAGACCATCGGTCGCATCGCCAACCGTATCAAGGACGCCAAGATCGATGCTCTGAACATCGGCAAGACATACACCCTCGCCGCCAACAACGGCCCCAACCACCTCCACGGCGGCGTCAAGGGATGGGGCAAGCGTGTCTGGGAGGGCCCGGTTCCCGTCGGCGTCCGCAGCATCCCGGGCGTTGAAGGCCTGCAGGGCGGCGAGAGCGTCCAGTTCACCCTTCGCAGCGAGGACGGCGACGAGGGCTACCCGGGAACCGTCGACACGACGGTTACCTACACCACCGGCACCCAGACCACGGCGGACGGAAAGACGGCCACCGTTCTGGGCATCGATTACGAGGCTAAACTCGTTGGCGACAACGTGGACGAGACGGCTATCAACCTAACGAACCACTCCTACTTCAATTTAACCGGCGGCCCCACAATTGAGGGTACCGTCGTCACCCTCGCGACCGACAAGTACCTCCCCGTGGACGCGGGCGGCATCCCGACCGGCGGGCCGACCCCCTTCGGCAAGGGCATCGAGGGCGGCAAGGCTTTCACCCTGGGCGCCGAGGATCCCGACATTGACGACTGCTTCGTCGTCAACGAGGCGGCCGGGTCCGTGCCGCTCGACACCCGCGGCGAGCCCCTGAAGACGCTCGTCCAGGCCTACCACCCCGCGACGGGCATCCACCTCGAGGTGGCGAGCACGGAACCCGCCTTCCAGTTCTACACGGGGAAGTACATCGACGTGCCGGCCGTGGGCGGTTTTCCGGCGCGGGGCAAGCGGAGCGGATTCTGCGTCGAGCCCAGCCGCTACGTCAACGCCATTAACGTGGATGAGTGGAGGAGCCAGTCGTTGGTGAAGAAGGGGGATGTGTACGGTGCCAGGATTGTCTACAAGGCATGGAGCGACTAAGGTAGTCAGGCCTCCTCTCGGTATGGGGCGAGCATCCTGACAGGGGCACGAGGGAGACTGTCATACTCATAGCTCATGCGATATGGATGATCGTCACTTAATGAAGCCCTTTTTTGCTCTAGATCATGAGTAAGGGGGGGGCAAATGAAAAATAAATGTCAGCAAAGCAATTCGCGACACGTGCCTTATCTTTTGCCGGTTCTCGTTGCAGCCTCGATCCTTTTGCCTTGTCCGCTTCTTTTTGTGACAAGTTGTCACAAAGAGGCTTACAAGGAGGCTTTTCAAGACTGGCATGCTCGGGCAATCCGACTGTTGTCAACGCAGGGGGCTCCAAATGGGGAGTCGACATGCAATGATACTGCTTTGATCCACCTTGGGATGTGTTGTACGTACAGCGGGAGAATCGAATAGGTTTCTTGTGGAAGTGAGGCGAGGACCTTCTCTTTGTTGTACCTTGCTGTCTGGGGCATCGGTAGGCATAGATGAGAGAACAGGTGAAAGAGAGCGCTGACTGGACCTGATAAATACCTTTGGCTATGTGTCTCTAGGTTGTAGTACGTAATACTCCGTACCTCGTACCTGCCCTCACCGTAGCACCTTAGCTCCTTACCTTAAGGTAAGGTAGCTATTATTACCTTACGCAGGGCCCATTCCCATTCCCATTCCCTGGGCTACCGGGCTACCTAAGGGACGCTCAACCTCAATAGCCAATCTCCAGGCACCTGATCCTTGAACAACTCACCCACTCTGTTCAGCGTCGGTTCCTGCCCGAAATTCGACTGGAGATCGAGGTTTCCTGCAAGAAACAGCTTATGCCGAATCTATTTTGTTTGTCGTTATTTCCCCTCTCTTTTTTTCTTCGATTCAGGACCGCTCAACTATCCTGAAATAACGACGTCTGCTGTATGAAACAACCAACCCACCCCAGTTATTCCTATCTGCTATTTACGGGGCCAGTCGTTATCAGACAGCAATATGGCGGACGAACCGACCGTTCGGACGCCCAAAAGAAAGCGGGGAGAGAGCAGATTCAAGGGTTCACCACTCTATTCGGCCACACAATTCTCCTTCCGTATGCCCCAGGCCCAGGAGGAAGAGGGCGGCGGAAGTGCAAGCCCGCGAACTCGGTTCGTTCACAAGTTCAAGGGACTCCATCTCCACGAGCAAAGCGGGGGCGGGGTCCCTCTCAGCGACACGAGCCGAGCCACCAACGATATCGCCACAGCCGTCACCACTGATAAGGCCCTGGGCGATCACAATCACACACAGACCAATGCCTTCACCGAGGGTCACACCGAGCCCATTGGCTGCGAACCTCGGATTGGCAACGTCAATCCCCAGGACGACGATGGCCACAACGGCGATGAAGACGACGAGGGAAGCACCATGCGCAAGCGACAAAAGGTCCCCGAACTCGTTATGCACGATGCCGACGGGGCGGCATCGTCTGAGACCCGTCCCGCTCATGTACCCCTCTCGGCGATGTCTCCAACATTGCCTACACCCGAGCCCGAAACCATTCCCGGCGACCGCAGCCCCTCGCGCGAAGCTGGCCTCGAGCACGTCGTCCCCCCTTCGTCGAAGGCTGGCAGCAACGAGGAAGCAGCAGCCCGCGAGGACGAGAGCGAAGACGAGGGCCCCGTGGTCGTCGACCCCGTCCGCGCCGCGCTGACCTGGCAGGAGGACGAGATTACCGTCTACGACCCGGATGACTCTGACGACGACGGCACGGGCGTCAACGGCGTCGGTTTTAAGCCCACCCCCGCCATCGCCCGCCTGCGCGTCCAGAAGCGTCGTCAGCAGCTGGCAGAATACCGCAGGAGGGAGGAGAAGGAGGCCCGCGCGCTTCGTAACTACCGGCGACGTGGCGGCGGCGGTAGTGGTGGTAGTGGTGGCAGTGGTGGTTCCGCATCGCCTGGAGCCGCGGTGGCGGATACGAAAGATTCGCCCGTGGCTTCGCGCCGGGTACGCTTTATGGAAGTCGAGGTCAGCGCGGTCGTGATGACTAACTGAGCCTGGCTGCCCCCCGTACCACGGTACATGGAGGTGATAATGACCTTAGAAAACAAGAGCTGACAAGAGCTGGCATATGCATTTTGTTAATGCTTTTGGGAAGGAATCTGATTTGTGGCGAGGCTTCATTCGATGAACCCATGAGGCGCAATACTGGGGCTTGGGCGTTTAACAACTTGGCGATGGAGTGCTGGGGCTCTCAAAGGCACATCTTTTCGGCATCCTTTTCTGTTTATTCTCCTTTTTCTTTTTATAGCTGGGATATTCTACGACAGATATGACATTGTGTCTACGGGCCACGTCTGGGTAGCCATGGAATGGACAGGGCCACGGGGACAGACCGAGTTCTGGGTTTTAGTCTCGGGACGGGAGGTGACAGTACATGGAACAGCGCTTGTTTATTGCCATTCAGGGATCGGACACTCCAGGCCAGGAAGAAAGGTCGCAAAAATGGAACGAAGGCGTTTTCTTTTGAGACATCCCAAGAAGACATCTTGTGCGCGGTAGATGAGAAACTTGCTAACCTGACCTTGATGAAAACTTGCCATCCGGTCTGCCACCCCGACTCCCTTTCCTGTGATGGTCTGCGTCCGCGGGCATCTAATGTTACAAGCACTCTGTACAGGTATAGGCAAGGTATATATGGTACAAAATGGAACGACGACCCTACCAGAATGTATACCAAGACCGCTGTTTCGCTGCCTCGGCCTCCCTCTTGGCCGCTTCTTCCTGCGCCACCTTCTTAGCCTCCATCTCTTTGCGCTGCTTTTCCTTTTGGCCCTGCTGGAACACCTCCACAGCACGGCGCATGTTAATTCTCTCCTGCCGTCGCTTGTACTGACACCACTCGAACGACGCGGCCGCGCCGGCGATGGTGCCGCCTACAGCCCAGTTCGCTACCTTGGGCACGGGGGCTGAGTAGTAGAAAATGAAGAGTAAGTATTTCCTCTTGCTTTTCTCTTCGAGTCGACTTTTGCAACAGAGACTTTCCCATCTTCCTTTCTGCGCCTTGAAGAGGTGAAGGGGGTAAAAGGGTAGGGGACAGAGATACAGGGGGTGCAGGGAAGTGAGAAGAAAAATGGAGGAGTTCGCATGATCAAGACGCACCGCTCATCATGAATTTGACACCGCCTACAATTCCGCCGGTGATGATGCCGTAAATGTATCCATCCCGGGCGCAGGGGACTTTTCCGACGTTCAGGAAATCCTCCGTTTTGATCGACTTGACGGCCTCCTGAATGGTGGGGACCTCCGCGTTGTGCGGTTGCGGCTGCAGAGCAGGGGTCCGGTAAGCTGCGGCATCCAGCTTGCCTTGGACTCTGGTGAGTTTTTTTTCTGGTAGGCTGGGGAGCGGGTCTACTCTCAGATCGGACTGAGTTGCATTGTCCCAGTTTGAGATGACGGTAGTCGATGAGGTGGAGGAGGAGGAGGACGACGACGATGATGGTGAGGACTCAGATGAGGAAGAGGACTCGGGGGCGGTTGAGGAGCCGCGACTGGTCAGCCAGCCCAAGCGGGTTTCCTGGCGGCTCTCTGGTTCATCTTTATCGGGTCGGTTGGCCATGGCCGGCAAACTGGGTTGGACTGGGCAGTGGCATCAAGGAGAGGTCGATGAAAGCTAAAGGTACCCTCAAAAGTCGCATGAGATTTCGACAATTGGCCCACCGTCTAGACGTTCCCATGGGATGGGTGGGCCCAAGAACATGTTGGTCCGTGCATCGGTACAAGGTAGGGTACCTTACATGTGTCAGATAAAGCGTAGTCAAAATCGTCACAAAATAGGTCAAAATTAATTAAGGCAATTGTGTATAATTGTAACTGTCTCCGACCGTTAGGGAAACGCTACTACCGTATTTTATATAATATAGATTCTATAAGCGTTTACCCGGATTATACTCTTAGTAATCCGGCCTATTACGTAACCGAAAAGACTATAGTCTGTTTAATATACCCCCTAATCGCCCTAAATGTTAGTTAGGCGATTAAAGCTATTCGTAATTAGCAGATAATCCAGCTATATAATCTATTCGCTATAGCCGCCCTTAAATTCATCCTCCAGGTCCTCTAAATATTCTACCCGGACTTCCTTTAGCTATTTCTGCTATAACCGTTCCCGTATATCTATCACGCCTACCTAGGACCTAAATATCTTAAATTTCTCGCCGTATAACGCCTTCGTTAATCCGTCTACCACTATTTCCGCGCTCGTAACGTATATTACGAGTATTTACCCGTATTCTTTTACTTAACGTAACTAGTGGCTATAGATATTAACGTAGCGGAGGCGCGTTATTAATATACTAATCTCTTAATTAACTAATCGAATCGTTTAGTTATTATCGTATAAGATCCTTAATTCTGGATCATTAAATTCTACTCCTATACTAAGTAATAGGCGTTATATAAAGATACCCTTTTTTACACCTTATACTAATGCTAATAGCTATGCTTCCGTTATTAACGTTATGACCGTATTCTGTTTATTAGCGCGCCACGCGATTATACCGCTAAATAAGCGTATCACGTACGCTTAACTGCTTTTTCGATTAAGAGTATTATCGGTAAATAAGGCGTTAGTGTAGATTTTAATAGTATCGCCACCCCTTAGTTCTAGCGTAAACGATTAGTTATTAATTAGACAAAGGATTAGATAATCGGCGGCCTTATAGTGAATAGGCCCTAGATTAATATTAAACCGGTATAGCCTAGATACTATAAACACGATATTAGGCTATAATATCACTACTATGTATAGCATAGATCCTATCTTCCGTTAATAGCTTTTAATATTAGTTAAGGTCCCTAAATAGGGCAGTAGCTCTATAACCTTAATTAAGTATATTAGACGATAATTACTACTATACTTACTATTCGGCTTTAATAGGTGTTCTAACTTAGTAACGTAATCGCGTTATAATAGCTAGATTTTACGGGCGACGCGGTCGCGAATAACCTTAATACTAAGGAACCACTATAAAGAATCGCCACCTTATAGGTTATAGTGGCGTTATAGGTTATTAACAGCCTACTCTATCTACGCCTTATATTATTCCTTATAAGTAAATAACGATATCGTTAATGTAGAAGAATAGAATTAAACCGTAGCGTAGAAAATAACACGGTTTTTATAGTACTATCTAGAAGCTATCCGCTAGAAAAATAGCTAAAAAGTGCTTTTACTAAAGCAGTAGAGACTCCTTAAGTCTATATAACGCCTTTTTTAGATATAAATGACTCCTAGGGGCTAAAAAGCCTAGCGGCGAGTATATAAAGATATTATAGGGGAGGGGCGCGTATATAAACGCGTTTATAATATTAAATTATAATAGCGTAAGGTTAAATCGGGCGGTGATAGCTATTAACGCGCGGAATAACCGTCTAGCTAGCGTTACTACGTATATCTCTTCGAGTAAGGATTAATACTACTAATCTCCTCGCACTATAAGCCTTACCTTATATTTATATAGAAATCTATACTTATCGAACTTATATATTATTACCTATATCGATTTTAAGAACCTAATATTTATCTGCTACGGACGCCGGCACCCGTATCTATAACCCTATCTCCTTATAGCTCCGCAGGTAGTCTTCTTATACCTATCGGAATAGGTAGCCGTAAAGGTATAAGGGTATATCGCGAGGGTTCTTCGGAAGAGGAGGGAGGTCTTTATGGTAGATCTTTATAGCCACCGGGGTAACCGCCGGAGTTATATTTCCCGAGATAGCCTCCCGGGATATACTTCCGGTAGCTGCCGCCGGGGCCGTGGATTTATAGGGTGTTATTATACGTCGCTATAACGCTATAGGCGTGGACCTTTTTAACTATAATTTAGTTAGCGGAGTCCTATTTAATATATATATATTAGGGGCGTGACGGCTAGCATTAAACATTGTAACCTAATAATCTCTTTTCTAGCTATCTCCTTACCGAATTAGTTACGCTCCTTTATTTAATAAGAGTTCTATAGCCGTAGCTATAGGGGCATCGTAGCACCGTGCTCTGTTGTCCTAGAACTCTACGGCTATAGGGGTATCACGGTTTCCTAATTTAACGGCTACTATTAGCGCTATAACCGATAGCGGGGTTACTAATAGAGTAGGAAATAGTAGATCGGGCGGATATAGATAGTAATCAGGCGCTATACCGGCTAAATCACACTATTCATAACCTAAATCTTATCCTAATTAACTTAAGATAGCCTCCTCCACCCCTTTGCGGCCGGGTATTACGGACTATAACCTTAACGGCAAAGCCGTCAAGGAAAGGGATCCGGGGGCGTTTATCCCCGGATCTAATAATTCAAAATAAGCAGTTATATAAAGAGGGGGGGTCCTTAGCTTATACGTCCGTAAACGGCCGTGAATCTCCAGCCCTCTCCTACTTAATCTAACTAATCAGGTCTTCTAATTACTCCTCGGTTAATTAATAAAGGTCGTCCTTAAAGGCGTTAATATCGCTATTAAAAAAGGTATATTCGTTAAAATCTATATCGCGCGTGCGAATAACGCGGTGGTAGCGCCGGCCTAGTACCTAGATACGGAAGATATTAGTAGAATCGTAGCCGATAAGGTAGCCGATATAGGCGTAGGGAGCGATACGGTTTAATAGCTTATTCACGCCCTTTTAGGCGTCCTTTATTATCACGTACGCTTTATAGCTATAAGCTCGAAGATATAATAAAATCGGCTTCCTTCTAAAAAGAACCTTATATAGTGTTTTCTAATCCTTATTTTTATACTACCTTTATAGCGTCCGGTTATAGACGTACGCCGCCGTGGGAATAGCCTTAGGCTATATAAACGGCGGTAGTTTTACGTGGATATTTATCGTATAACCCTTTAAAATAACCACGGCAGTAGCGCGTTTATCACCTCCGTTATATGCTTAAGTATCGGCAGCAGATACCTCTAAAAGGATACCCTTATCACGTAGGAATTAGGTGATATCGTGGGATTAGTTAACTCGTTATTAGATTCGAAACGCGCACCTTATAGCCTAATTAACGGTCTACCCAGGCGAGGAATTCCTTAATTATTACGAGGATATCCACTGCTAGCTTACTCTTTATAACGTAGGTGGCCGTAAAACCACTATAACGGTCGGTGAAAAACATAAACCACGAGTCCCCGTCGGATATTCGATTAAAATCTATAAATTTAATCGCCTACCGCTCCTCTACGTAGGCAGGTACGGTGCGAGGGCGTCTACTAACATACCGTTTAATCTTTATAAGTTCGTAGGCCTCGTAGTCGATAGTTATTACTCCCTTTATTTTAACCCCCTACGTCTACTCTTCTAGGTACCTAAATAGTTTAGGGCCTATATACCCTAGCTGTAAATACTATAGGATACCCTCTGCTATACTTAGATACCGTATCGTCGATTTATAGACGGCTTTTCGGGTGGTAGAAGAAGAAGAGCCTAGAAAAGCAGCCGCAGATTAGTTAGAGGGCATATATTTGATAACGGTTTAATCGAAGTGGTGACTTAGCTAGTATACTATAGATCTATCGGAACGCCGAATACAGTTATTTAGTGGCTTCTGATCCTACTAGTATCCTCGAAGACGTAGGCGTTAGTTAAAGATTAAATTACAGGTAAAATCCTCGTAGTATACGATATTTAATAGCCTAAAATCGAGGCCTCCTATTAGTCCATTTAATCTCACGGTCATATTACCGTAACCTTTAATAGACAGGGATAAACTGCCGGCGACTACGTAGTCCCCCTATATAGCGGGTGTAAAATCAGAAAAACAGGAAAATTCGTTAAATATATAAATAGTAGCGCCGGAATCGAGGATAGCAGAGGTTCGAAGAGGGTAACGAGTAATAGCGGTTCCTGCTATAAAGCTAACGGCGTAGGAGACACCGCTATAGACGCTACGGACGCTACTATAGTCGAGTCACGTCTCTTTAAGCTATACTAAGTCCCGGCTTATATCCTTCTTTACCTTCTTTACAGCGCGTAGTTCTTCCACTTCCGCGCGTAGTAAGTGGTCGTATTTAAGGATCTATTAAACGGTTATTTTAATGCTCTTAGAGGGTATCTAATTATTATATACCATATCCGGGAATAGATAAAAGCAGGCGTTAATATCGTGGCTAGGTATAGCGTATACGCGGTAGATCTAACCTCTCTATAAAGCAGATTAACGGCGTTTAGAAGAGGAACGGTTAGCTAAAGCAGCTAAAGGTATAGCTATAGATACCGCAGTAATAGGATTCTTAGCTTTATTCTTCCCACGGCCGCCCTTCTTATAGGGCTTAGCCGTGCCCTCTAAGGTATTTTTACCCTTTTCGCTTCCAGTATATAATATAGGGAATACTATAGCACGGTGGCTACTGTGTTTTCCTTAGTCTTTAAGTCTAGTATTAATATACTTCTAACTAAGGGTATAAAGGTCTTCGGGTATAACTACCTAGTAATCTATAAGGCGACCCTTAGCCTTAGTCTAATCGCGGCCGGTATAGGGGCGTATACCTCTAAAGAAATCTATAACCTATATATACTTAGCGGGCTTTAAATCGGTATCTTTATAGCTTTATAGTAGTAGCTACCACTTATCTAACTACTCCCCGAGCTTCTTAAGGCTATTCGCAGGATAATAAGTATACTCGATATACTCTTCGTGGGTATCGGTTTAGCGGGTGGCCAGGTACTAATCCGTATCGCGTTTAATTACTTTATACACCTTATAAGACGTGCCTCCTTATAGTAGTTATTTACGGCTTTAGTCGATAGTATTAACCTGCCAGGTCAGTATAGCGTTAATCCCCTTTAGGTAGCTATCGTATTACACTTATAGGATCTTCCAGCGCGCGATTTCGACGTTATACGCCTTCTAGCCGGCCTCCGTAAGATTAAGATATTACATAGGGGTACGCCTAGGCGTTATTAAGGGGAAGGAGTCGTAATTCGGTATTATAGGCTCTTCGGGGGACTAAGTCGGATCGACTAGGCGGAGAAACCTCCACACATTATTATAGGTAGCGACCGATTCGTATAGGCGTCGCTAAAGCTCCTAATCTTTATAGGTTTTATACGTAATAGGGCTAAGATACGATATCTTAATAGTTATTGTATAGATTAACATGCTATATCAGCACGGCTAGATAGCTTCTTAAATCGATAGTAGTAAAGGTAAAAAAGTAGGTAAAATAGGTATATCTTCACTTAGTAAGTAAGACTCTTAATTATTAGATAAAGCGTAGTTGAAATCGTTATAAAATGTGTTAAAATTAATTAAGATAATTATGTATAATTATAACTATCTCCGACCGTCAGGGAAACGCTACCACCGTATTTTATATAGTGCAGATTCTGTAAGCGTCCACCCGGATTATACTCTTAGCAATCCGGCCTATTACGTAACCGAAAAGACTGTGGTCTGTTCGATAATATGTGGTGGGTGGGATTTGGTACGTACCTAGTACCTTGTACCTCGTTAATTGATTTGTGAGACGAGCGTGTCGCGTAGAGTCGCGCTTTGACGCGTCTTACCAATTTCTCGACAGACAAGGGGCCTGCTTTTGTGTGGACACCGATTCCAACTTCAATCTACCAACCCAGGGCAGGGAGATTCGACCATTCAAGACACCGGAAATCCTAGCCCGGTCGACTCTTTCTCTTAACCAAAAATTGTCAACAACATAACGAATTCAACTAATTTCATTCCCTTCGAAATTCTGCTCGCCGGTTGCCTCGCTTTTCCCCCATGATTCCCCTGAACGCAGCCACCCTCGAGTCTCCCGTCTCCCCGCCCTCTGTCCCCTCCTACCTCGAGAAGGGTAGACTCTAGGAACGACGAGTACGACAAAGACCGCCTTCAGCAATGCCCAACACCAGCCTCCGTCGCCCGCAGAAGGGCTATAGGCGTGGCGGCGGCAAAGTAGCCTACCATGGCCGTTCCACCCGCACCCGCACATTCGAGGCCTCATCCCGTGCCGAGGGTACGTCCGCGGACGAGAAGTGGGAACGCACACGCCTTGCACACACCATCGATGAGGCCATGGGGTTTGCCCGCCACGAAGGCGGGGGTCGTCGTCGCGACGGCTGGCTCGTCAACGTGCAGCCCACCTCGGTCGAGGACGAACGAAACCCGGGCGGCCGCGCTGCTCTCGACTGCTACTTCATCGATGACGACGGCACCACATTCAAAGCTACGGTCGAGCACGAGCCATACTTCCTCGTTGCTACTAAGAAGGGCCGCGAGACCGAGGTTGAGGAGTGGCTGAAGCGCGTTCCTGGCGGGGGTTGCGTCAAGTCCGTCAGGAGGGTGGAGAAGGAGGATCTCAACATGCCGAATCACCTCATGGGCTACCGGAGGACATTTATCGAGCTGCGGTTTCAAAACGTTACCGACCTGATGGCCGCGAGGAGGGAGATCATGCCCATTGCAGAGAAGAATAGGAAGAATGTGGATGCTATGGAGACGTATGCCGAGGTTTCCATGTGAGTTTGGCCGGTCACATATACCGTCGTCCAGTTATACGATCAGGGCGCAGGTATGGGCTGGTCTGATGATACTGACGTTATGTAGGGCCACCGGGGACTTTGACCTTTTTGACGACATACCAGATGACGATAGACGAGCGAATGCTTCTTTTGCCGACGCCAGTGACTACATTGTTGACATCAGAGAGTATGATGTCCCGTACCACGTGCGAGTAATGATTGACTTGGGTAAGCGAGGCTTGGGGGAATTCTCTTGCTTTTCAGAACAAAGAACTGATTGTCGAGTAGATATAAGAGTAGGAAAATGGTACTTCGTCGAGGTGAAGCACGGTATTACCAAGATCATCGAGAACACAGAGCGATTAGCCATGGCGGATCCCGTCGTCCTCGCTTTCGATATTGAGACGACAAAGTCGCCGCTGAAGTTCCCCGACCAGGCTACTGACCAAATCATGATGATTTCATACATGATTGACGGGCAGGGCTTCCTGATTACCAACCGAGAGATCGTGTCAGAAGACATTGCCGACTTTGATTACACGCCGAAGCCCGAGTACCCCGGTTCTTTCATGATATTTAACGAACCCGACGAGAAGATGGTCATCGAGAGGTTCTTCGAGCACATCAAGGAAGCCAGGCCTACCGTCATTGCGACCTACAACGGCGACTTCTTCGACTGGCCCTTTGTCGAAGCCCGTGCTAGTGTCAACGGCATCGACATGTATCAAGAGATTGGGTGGAGGAAAAACAGCGAGGATCAGTACCAATGCAGTTACGGCATTCACATGGACTGCTTCCACTGGGTCAACCGAGACTCTTACCTTCCACAAGGATCTCGTGGTCTCAAGGCTGTGACTGTCGCGAAGCTCGGATACGACCCGGACGAGCTTGACCCCGAACTGATGACGCCCTACGCCTCCGAGCGACCCCAGACTCTTGCCGAGTACTCCGTCTCTGACGCCGTGGCGACCTACTACCTGTACATGAAATACGTCCACCCTTTCATCTTCTCCCTGTGTACGATCCTGCCGCTGGGCGGCGACGACACGCTGAGAAAGGGTACGGGCACGCTCTGCGAGATGCTGCTCATGGTCCAGGCGTACAAGAAGGAGATCATCTTGCCAAACAAACACATTTCCCCCAGGGAGGCGTTTTGGGACGGCCATCTGCTGGAATCAGAGACGTACGTGGGAGGCCACGTGGAGTGTCTCGAGGCTGGCGTATTTCGCGCAGACATCCCGGTCAATTTTGCGGTGGAGCCAGACGCCGTGGACGAGCTGCTCCGAGATCTGGATGCCGCCCTCCGGTTCACAATTACCGTGGAGGAAAAGAAGTCGATGGAGGATGTCGAGAATTACGAGGAGGTCAGGGAACAGATCGCAGCCAGGCTACGGTCCTTGAAGGAGACGCCGAACCGGCTCGAGCGGCCACTCATATACCACGTCGACGTCGCGTCCATGTACCCGAACATCATGACGACCAATCGTCTGCAGCCCGACTCGATGGTCCAGGAGTCAGACTGTGCTGCGTGCGACTTCAACCGGCCCGGCAAGACGTGCGACCGTCGGCTGCCGTGGGCGTGGCGAGGCGAATACATTCCGGCCAAGAGAGACGAGTACAACATGATTCGGCACGCCCTCGAGAACGAGAAATTCCCCGGGAAATACCCCAATGCGCCCATGCGGATGTTCCAAGAACTACCCCTGGACGAGCAGGCCAGTCTGGTCAAGAAGCGGCTGCAGCTGTACTCACAGAAAATCTATCACAAGATCCGCGACTCCACGACTATCGTCAAGGAGGCCATCATCTGCCAACGGGAGAATCCGTTCTACGTCAATACCGTACGCGACTTCCGTGACCGTCGGTATGATTACAAGGGAGAAGTAAAAGTCTGGAAAGGGAAGACGGACGCGCTGAAAAACTCTGGCGCGTCTGCTTCCGAGGTGGAGGGGGCCAAGAAGATGATTGTCCTGTTCGACTCGCTACAGCTGGCGCACAAGGTCATTCTCAACTCCTTCTACGGCTATGTCATGCGAAAGGGGTCTCGCTGGTACTCGCTCGAGATGGCCGGGGTGACCTGCTTGACGGGAGCAACGATCATTCAGCTGGCTCGTGGGTTGGTGGAACGACTGGGACGCCCCCTGGAGCTCGACACCGATGGTATCTGGTGTATGCTGCCGGCCACCTTCCCGGAGAACTTTGCCTTCGAGATGAAGAACGGAAAGAAGCTCGCTATCTCTTACCCCTGTGTCATGCTGAACCATCTGGTCCACGCTCGGTTCACAAACGATCAATACCAGACTCTCGTCGACCCCCAAACACTGAAATACGACACGCACAGCGACAATTCCATCTTCTTCGAAGTCGACGGTCCGTACAAGGCCATGATTATCCCCACGTCCAAGGAAGAGGACAAGAACTTGAAGAAGCGGTACGCGGTGTTCAACGACGACGGCAGCCTGGCTGAACTCAAAGGCTTCGAGGTCAAGCGTCGAGGTGAGCTGAAGCTCATCAAGACCTTCCAGCAACAGATCTTCAGGTTCTTCCTGGAAGGAGAGACGCTGGCCGAATGCTATGCCGCCGTCGCCAAGGTGGCCAACCGATGGATCGACATTTTGCAGAACAAGGGCGTGACGCTTGCCGACGAAGAACTGATGGACCTGATTTCCGAGAACCGAAACATGTCCAAGACACTGGAGGAGTATGGCGCACAAAAGTCGACATCCATTACCACCGCCAGGCGTCTAGCGGACTTTTTGGGCGAGCAGATGGTCAAGGATAAAGGACTGAACTGCAAGTTCATCATCTGTGCGAGACCCAAGAGCGCGCCCGTTACGGAGAGAGCCGTGCCCGTCGCCATCTTTTCAGCGGAAGAAGAGACAAAACGGGCATATCTGAAGAAGTGGCTGAAGGAGGAGCCTTTGAGCACGGATCCAAGGGACCTCCTCGACTGGGACTATTATATGGAGCGTCTGGGCTCCGTGATTCAGAAGCTCATCTCGATCCCGGCGGCTTTGCAGAAAGTCCGCAACCCCGTGCCGCGAATTCCTCATCCGGACTGGCTCCAGCGCAGGATCAACATCAAGGACGACAAGATGAAGCAGAAGAAGCTGACAGATCTCTTCGGCAAAGGACCGCTGGAAGATATAACCAACCGGAACAAACGCGGACCGGAGGATGTCGAAGACTTTGGCTCCAAGCTCTTGAAACCCAAGACGGTGGCTGCCATGGTGGCAGCGTCTCAGCCTCCACCGACTGCGCAGAAGAGGAAGTCTCCTGAGCCCGCCGAGAATATCGACCCCTTCGCTGCCCTGCCTAAGGTGATGCCTTCGCCGTCCGAGGACTACGGGGCCTTTCTCGAGTACCAGAAGCAAAAGTGGAAGATCCAGAAGCAAGCTCGCACCAGGCGACGACAGCTTTTCGGTGACCGGCGGGGCAACCAGAGTAATATCCAGACGACGTTCAGGCATCAGGCGCACAACACTTTCATGAATACGTGGCAGCTATTGCAGTTGAAAGCGACGGAAACCCCGGGCGTCGTCCACGGGCATGTCCTCATCAACGCCAAGATCCACACGGTCAAGATCAAGGTGCCGCGGCAGGTGTTCTTGAACCTCAAGGGCAGGGATATGCCCGACGTCGAGATTGAGGGCTGTGAGGTCGAGCAAGTCAACCATACGCTCCCGAACGGACATTCGTCGACCCACCTCTTCAAGCTGACGGTGGCGGAGGACGTTTACTTCCACGAAGCAGAGAAGTTTTCGGCGCTGTTCAACCACGCCAGCGTCGAGGGGGTGTACGAGAAGCACCTTCCACTCAACATCCGCGCCGTGCTGCAGCTCGGCAACCTCTGCACGATCGACCAGACGCAGCACGCTGTGCTGGGCAAGGGACTGGAGCAGGGCTTCGATCTCAGTGGTCTGACGAGGCCCGAAAAGCCCAAAACCTACCTCGACGCCTCGCCTCTGGCGTACATCTACATCTCGCATATCACGGCGGGCGAGCGCCAGGTTTTCGGCATTTTTTCCACGACGGGGAACCAAGCACATATCGTCATCCTCCAGAAGAGCAGGGACTCGGGTCAAGACCTCCCTAACGTGTCCAAGATTTACTCCGAACTGCTCAAGCGACGGGGCGAGGAGACGGAGGAAACGAACTGGCAGGACTGTTTCAAGTACCAGGACAAGCTCAACTTCAAGATCACGCAGGTGACGACACGAAGGAAGATGCACTTGGAGATTGGCGACATGGTGAAGCGACTGAGGAAGGACGAAGCGAGGCCGTTGATGATGGTGATTCAGTCTTCGCAGCGTAACCTCCTCGTTTCCGACGTGCCGATCCTGGGGGAGTTCCCGATATTGCCTCTCAAGTACGACCCGGCCGACAGCTCGTTGCCGCCCCTGGGGTGGCAGAACGTGGTGTCCAGACGGCTGGTCGGGCACTACCTCGGCCTGGGATCCTGGATCCTGCACCTCACGTCCCTGGCGCGGTACGGCGACGTGCCGCTGTGCAACCTGGAGAGGGAGGACCCGCGCTTCTTGATCGACATTGCGTATGCCCGGCGGCTGCAGAACAACAAGGTCGTCCTGTGGTGGTCGGCGGCGCCCCAACCTGACCATGCCGGCCACGAAAGGGACGACGTGACGGGCCCGCTCGAGACGGTGCAGATGCCGTCTATCAACAGGCCGGGCACTTTCTCGTCGGTGTGCATCGACTTGGAAGTCAGGAACCTGGCGATCAACACGATCCTGACGTCTTCGCTGATCAACGAACTCGAAGGGGCGGATTCCGTCTCGTTCAACCCCGCGGGCGGCGGCGGCGGCGGCGACGCGGGTGCGGGTGGTGGCGAGGAGGTGATCACGTCGGACAGCGCGTTCGCCAACGCGGGCGTACTGGTGCTTCGCGAGATGGTGAAGAACTGGTGGCAGGAGGCGTGCAAGGGCAACACGATGGCGGACGTCATGGTGCAGCACCTGGTGCGGTGGGTGGAGAGCCCGGACTCGTTCCTGTACGACCGGGCGCTGCACTACTACGTGCAGATGATGTCGCGGAAGGCGTTCCAGCAGCTCATGGCGGACTTTCGGCGCGTCGGGTCGCAGGTGGTGTTCGCCAACTCGAACCGGCTGCTGCTCCAGACCAGCAAGGCCGAGGTGGGCACGGCGTACGCGTACAGCCAGTACATCATCAAGTCGATCAAGGGCAAGGCGCTGTTCCACTTCATCGACCTGGAGATCAAGGAGTACTGGGACTACCTCGCGTGGTACGACGAGTTCAACTACGGCGGCAAGGCGTGCCAGGAGGTGGTGGAGGCGGAGCGGCAGGGCCTCGACACGATCATGCACTGGCAGATGGCGTCGTTCCTGCCCGTGCGGCTGCAGTCGGTGTTCCAGGAATGGGTGGTCGAGTTTATCGAGCTGATGCACGGGCTGAAGCGTTCGGCGACGGAGGGAGGGGGAGGGCAGGAGGGGGGTCCGTCGTCATCGACGCAGCGGCTGACGCAGCTCCCGCCGCAGAACCGCAAGGAACCGGCCGAAGGCGAGACGATCATCCTGGGCAAAGCGTTCGAGAAGCCCCTGAAGAAGGCGATCGCGGGGCTCCTCAAGACGCAGAAGCGGGAGATGCTCCACCCGGAACTGGCGGGCGACTATTCCTTCCCCGTGCTCCCCGGGTCGCACCTGGCGTGGTACTCGGGCGGCGGGCCGGGGGCGGGCGGCGCAGGCACGGGACCGCTGCTGGAGCTGGTGAAATCGCTGATGCAGGTGCTCTCGCTGGACAAGAACATCACGCTGGAGGCGAGGCTGCTGCGCAAGGAGCTGCTGGCGATGTTCGAGGTGCGCGAGTTTAGCAAGACGGCGACGTTCCACAACCCGAGCGCGAGCTTGAAGCTGGCGCAGTTGAGCTGCGAGTCGTGCACGATGGCGAGGGACATGGATTTCTGCCGCGACGCGGACCTGCTCCCCGACCCGCTGGCTGGTCCCTCCGAGGCGACAGGGGCGGGGGCGGGGACGAAGCCCTGGCGGTGCGGGTTCTGCGAGGCGGAGCATGACCGTGTGGCGATCGAGGAGAGGTTGGTGGCGCAGGTGGAAGGGTTCGTGGTGGAGTGGACGACGCAGGACCTCAAGTGCGCCAAGTGCCGGGCGTTGCGGTTGAATGAGTTTATGGAGCATTGCGTGTGCAGCGGGAGCTGGGTGGAGAGCGTGAGTCGCGAGGAGATTGTGCGTAGGCTGGCTGTCTATGGCAATGTGGCGCGGTTCTACGGGTTGAGGATGCTGCGGGAGGTTGTTGATGGGTTGCAGGCCGGGCTGTGAGGGTGGTGGGGATCGGTCTCCTTTGTTTGTACGAAAGCTGGATGAGGACACGAACAACGGAAATCAGGATGGAGATTAGGGGCAGGCGTCTGGGTATATGGAATATGCTGATATATAATAACGCTTTTGGCTGAGTGGTGGTCGTGGTCAACCGCAACATGGAATGACAAGGGGCCGTGGTGTCGTGGTGTCGTGGGGAGCCAGCATAGGTCATGAGCCGCGCATAAGAGTTGGGGAATATATATTTAGCTTCTCAACACTATATACAATCGAATTGTGGTTGACGACTTGGAAGTTGAGGGAAAATAAAAAAGAATTACTCTTATAGTGCCAGACGATGCTGCGGGCTGCGATGCTGTCGTCCTTCGACTTAAGGTACCTTGGGTTGTTATAGTGAAGTGCCAAGGTTCAACATCGACGCGTGGTGCCAGCTGCCGCTCACCCATTGGTAGCTGCGTCGTTAATTACAGTGGGCCTCGAAAAGTGACGAGTAAAATAAGGTACCCATCCACAACGTCACCCCCACCTTTTTCCATCTTACAACAACAGAGCCCTTCAAGTTCGAAAAATCCCCCCTATATTAGGTTCCAATTTTATAGCTTCTGCTCTATCTATTCTGAATTTTCCCTTATTTTTAAACGTATTTGTCGTAACGTTATTCATACTAAAAACCAGGGTGTATATATGGGTACATTTTCGTATAGGGACCCTACTCGTCACTTTTTGTTAGTGACTGGTTCCAAGCTGTCCCAGTCCCAGTTCACGAAACGTCGCGACGGCAAAGCTGCAGCCCTACACCCATATACGCGAACGACCCGTTTCCACGGTTAGGTTATCCTTCACTGTCTTCCTTGTTTCGAGTCTACAACGTACGTATGTATGTCTGCGTTGGCCCCCAGACATGATCCAAATGGTGTCTCCGCCTCCGCCTCTCCCTCCGCCTCCGACGCCAGGACGCGCGATGAGAATGCTCATCCTTCTGCTTGTCAAAGCGAGATACCACAAGCTCTTGCGACGATTGTGGAGAAAGCAGCCCGGCCTTCTCCATATCTTTAACATCTGCATCCAGATCAAGCCAGACGAGAACCTGGCCGAAGCCCACGCTATGCGATTGTCGCCATTACTATCATCATTACTGTCGCTTTTCTTTTCATGGAATCTACTCGAGTCTCCTGATCCCAAAGAGAGGGACGTTTACAGATTGTCGATATGTTCCGAAAAGTAAGGTATCCTACGAGTTATACGGTTCGTACGTTTTCTATTTTATCACGATAATTAAGGTACGATTCCTGGCTACCCATTTTCGATAACACCAAAGAACTACGACAAGGTACCTTCCTAGGTAACATGATAATAATAATCTTATGATAAGGTCGGAAGAAGGATAAAATGCTAAGGTACCTTATAGTACCTACCTACGTAGGTAGACTTCCCGGGATTCCTAATAAACGTCTTTGGAAGCACTTTTAATCGAGCCGAGCTACCTTGGTATTAAAAGTCGGGCAGGCAAATATGGACGATAGGTTATAGGTAGAATACCTATTAGCCTGTAGATTTATTCCTTTACTCCCTTACACTGTACCTGAGTTAAAAACTCACGTTAACAGATCCGATCCTGCTGACAGTCAATCAACTGGTTACAACCTCTATTCTGGGCCCAATTTGATCGATCTATTACCTATGTACCTTATGCTGGGTGATAAGTACCATGGTTGTCGAGGCCGACTATTGAGGTATCTTATCTTACCTAAGGTGCTCAGTGAAGTATCCCCTGGATTACGGAGCAGCAGATTACCTTAAGCTTCTTCGATATGGTACGTACTTTCTTTCGTACTGGTAAAAATCCACAACTTCATCCTGCCCCACGTCCTGCGTCTCGTTGCCTCCCCCCAAGTCCCAAGTTCGCACCCTCACATCGCCAGCTTTTCGCAAACGCCAATACATAAATCCTCCATATACGAGAATAAGCTCAAGCCTTGCGGCTCTACTTTCCCCAACATGTCGTTCGGAGGTCAGGCCCCGACCATCATCGTCCTCAAAGAAGGTTGCTACTCCATCCTCCACCCACCGCATCAACTCACTCTTCTCGCCCATCTCACCAACACCGGCCCTCACCGACCCTCCAACCATCCGCACGGCATGACATTGAATATGCTAACCCTCTCGCTTATTATTCAGGAACCGATACCTCCCAGGGAAAGCCCCAGATCGTCTCCAACATCAACGCATGCTTGGCGGTGCAGGCGACAATCAAGTCGACACTCGGTCCCTATGGCGGCGATTTGTTGATGGTAGATCAGAATGGGAGGCAGACCATTACAAACGACGGTGCGACCGTCATGAAGGTGCGATGTTCGAACCCGGTATCCCAGGCTTGAAGGAGGGACAATGGGGGAAGCTACCACAAAACCGAAAGAAAGAAGAAAAGAAAAGAAGAAAAAAAAGAAGGAAGGAAAATACTGACGCTGAGAGGGGTACAGCTCTTGGATATCGTCCACCCTGCAGCCCGTATCCTGGTCGACATTGCGAGGTCGCAAGACGCCGAGGTGGGCGACGGCACAACATCGGTGGTGGTCCTGGCCGGAGAGATCCTCAAGGAGGTCAAGGAGCATGTGGAACAGGGCGTCAGCTCGCAGATCATCATCAAGGGCCTGCGAAAAGCCTCCGCCATGGCCGTCAACAAGATCAAAGAGATTGCCGTCGACACGGAAGAGGGTAATCGGAGGGAGACTCTCAGCAAGCTAGCGGCCACCGCCATGACCAGCAAGTTGATCAAGCGGAATACCGAGTTTTTCACAAAGAGTTTGTTTTCCCTTTTTTCTTCTTCTTTGTATTACATTTACTATTCTCTTTGCCTCGCTTGTTCTTCTTCGTCCAACGACATGGAACAGGCAACAGTGACTAATCCCTTCCCCTTCAGTGGTCGTCGACGCCGTGCTATCCCTCGACCAAGAAGACCTCAACGAAAAACTCATCGGCGTCAAGAAGATACCCGGCGGCTCGCTGACCGAGTCGCTCTTCGTCAACGGCGTCGCCTTCAAAAAGACCTTCTCCTACGCCGGCTTCGAGCAGCAGCCCAAGTCGTTCGTCAAGCCCAAGATCGTGTGCCTCAACGTCGAGCTCGAGCTCAAGGCCGAGAAGGACAACGCCGAGGTGCGCGTCGAGGAGGTGTCTGAGTACCAGGCCATCGTCGACGCCGAGTGGCAGATCATCTACCGGAAACTCGAGGCCCTGCACCAGACCGGCGCCAAGGTCGTGCTCAGCAAGCTGCCCATCGGCGACCTGGCCACCCAGTACTTCGCCGACCGCGACATCTTCTGCGCCGGCCGCGTCGCCTCCGAGGACATGGAGCGCGTCGTGCAGGCCACGGGCGCCGTCGTGCAGTCGACCTGCTCCGACATGCTGCACGAGCACCTCGGCGTCTGCGGCCGCTTCGAGGAGCGCCAGATCGGCGGCGAGCGCTTCAACTTCTTCGAGGACTGCCCCGAGGCCAAGACCTGCACCCTCGTGCTGCGCGGCGGCGCCGAGCAGTTCATCGCCGAGGTCGAGCGCTCGCTCCACGACGCCATCATGATCGTCAAGCGCGCCATCCGGAACCGCACCATCGTCGGCGGCGGCGGCGCCACCGAGATGGAGCTCTCGGCCTACCTGCACCGCTTCGCCGACGACAAGGTCAACCACAAGCAGCAGGCCGTCATCAAGAGCTTCGCCAAGGCCCTCGAGATCATCCCGCGCCAGCTGTGCGACAACGCCGGCTTCGACGCCACCGACATCCTCAACCGCCTCCGCGTCGAGCACCGCCGCGGCAACACCTGGGCCGGCGTCGACTTTGACAACGAAGGGGTCGCCGACATGATGGAGCGCTTCGTCTGGGAGCCCGCCCTCGTCAAGATTAACGCCCTCCAGGCCGCCACCGAGGCTAGCTGCCTCATCCTCGGCGTCGACGAGACCATCCACAACGAGGAGAGCGCCCAGCCCCAGGCCCCCGGGAAGCCTTTGCCTCCTGGTGCCGCTCAGAGGGCTCTCCGCGGTCGGGGACGTGGTATGCCGAGGCGGTAGGCGAAGTCGGTAGCGTGAGGGGAACGGAGAACGTTAGAGATGGGACAAAAGACAGAAAGAAAAAAGGAAATAGGGGCTGGAGTTTCTGTATGATACCTTTGCACCAGGGCCCTAAGATGAGAAGAACAGAATAACCGGTTGTCCAAGAAAGGGACTTGGACGAACCGAACTTGATGGCTGTGATAGACGGCTAGACTAGGCGTACGTACCCTAATCGCAGAGGAAGATGTACGGCGAGATGGACCTTGACAGTCCGATGACGGGACACCGATGAGTCGTGAAACAATCGATGAAAGGTGGTTATTGCTGACCTCTACTGTCTAGCTAAGGATGAGGAAGCATAGCAAGGGAAAAGTAAAAGTAAGAATAAAAGTAAAAGTAAAAGTAAAAATAAAAGCAAAAATAAAAATAAAAATAAAAATACAAATAGAAATAAAAATAGAAATAGTTCATGGCTAAAACACCCATCTCCGTCTTGCGACTGCTTCTCTTCGTCCCTTTCCCCTCTCATCCCGCGTCTACTGAACCGTCGTTGGATTCACGTTGTGGCTCTTCCTGTCCTGATACCCTTCTCCCTCTCGGGGTCTGCATCCCCTGGCGTCCCCTCTGCCCCTGCCCCTGCCCCTGTCCCTGACCCGGACCCTTCTATTGTCTCAACTTGGACTTCTGCATCACTAATATGACGGACTTGCTGCTCCGCAGGAGGAACAGAAGCAGAAGCCGACACGGACAAGGCAGCGGCATCCTCGTCGCCGATACCCGTCATGGCCTCATCTTCGTCTTCGTGGTGATTATTGTGCGGCGGCGGATCTTGGTGGACCTCGTCGTCGTCTTGCTGGATCAGCATGTCCAAGTCGCGGTCTACGGCTTCGGCTTCGCGCGCGGCTGCGTCGGCTTCTGCGTCCATGTCGGGGGGTCCTGGCGGGGTGTGGTGGTGGTGGTGGTGGTGGTGGTGGTGGTGGTTGTGTTGAGGATGGGGATGGCTGTGGGCCTGGTCGTGGTTGTGGTCGTGATGGAGGGACTCGGATGTCGTCGCTGTTAACAAGGCTTGAAAGTCGGTTTCCGTGGAGGGCTCATGTGAATGTGGATGTGGATGTGGGTTATATGGTTCGTACGGATGGTGGTGCGGGTTGTTGATCATCTGCGGGTCAATGGGCTGGAAGACGGAATCGGGGTGCGGGCCGTGAGTGGCGTGGTGGTGGTGGTGGTGGCGTTGGTGATGATGTGCGTGATCTGGCGGTAGGCCGTGGGAGGAGGGCTGGTCTTGGAGCATCGGGTTGTGGTGGCCAAGCCCCCGGTGTCGGGCCAGGGGGGAGGCCGACGGGTCGTGGAGGGTGTCCGTGGGCAAGATACCTCGGGGTATCGGCTCGGGAGAGGGATAGTTGTATAGAAGCGGCGGCGACCCGGGGACCGACACTGCAGGGTTGGGTGGCACGCCTAGTACGCCATGGGGGTGGGAAGGGCCGATGTCGTTACTACTACTCCCCCTCCTCTTGCGGCCGTGGGGGGGGACGGTCGTCGACACAGCGGTGGTGCTCGCCGCGACGTTGAGGCAGCCGTTGCCTCCACTGGTCGTGGTATTATCACCAGTAGACCCGCCGCCTCCGACTCCCCCTCCGGTCCCTCCAACGCCGCCGGCAGACGCTCGGGCCCGCGCCGCAGCCACCCCATTCCCGCTACCGGGGGCAGGCATCTTGCCGAGCTCCTTGCATTCAGCGCAGTTCCGGATCACGTCGCTCACCGTCTCCTTGATGCGGCTCCAGTGGTACCTCTCGGCGATGGTGGCGGTGGTCTTGTTGATGCCGCCGTGCTGGGCCTCGTGGACGTGGCGGGCAATCTCGTACTGGCGTCGCGGGTCGGGCACGACCTCCTTGTCCTTGAGCATGAGGCGGTCGTTCTCGAGCAGCTTGTAGTGGGTGGCGGCGCTGCGGAGGCGGCTCTTCTCGGCGCGGTCGGCGCCGGCGGGGTACTTGCCGTACTTGAGGTAGTACTTGATCTTGTCGAAGCGCTCGACGGAGACGAGGTCCTCGGGGAACTCGCCGGGGACGAGGTCGCGGCCGTAGATGATGGCGTCGACGAGGCGGCCCGGGTAGGAGCGCAGGTTGCCGCAGCCCTTGACGCGGCCGATGCGCTTGAAGCCCAGGGCGTCCCAGATCTTGCACGACACCACGTTGGTCTCGTAGACGAGGTTGAAGACGCTGTAGGTGTAGCCCAGCTTCGGGGCCCAGTCGAGGTAGCTCTCGCCCATGAGACGCCCCGCGCCCCGGTTGCGGGCCGCGTCGGTGACGAGGAAGCCGGCGTTGCAGACGTGCGAGCTGCGGCCGGGGTAGTTGGGTTTGATGTAGAAGCTGCCGAGGCATCGCTTGGACCAGTCGCCCGCCGCCTCTTCGGTGCTGCTGGTGCTGTTGCTGTTGCTGTTGCTGTTGCTGTTGCTGCCACCGCCACCGTCACTGCTGCTGTTCTTGTGATTCATGTTGTCGGCTGCTGCCTCGGGCAGGGAGGCAATGTCCTCGGGGCGTTCGATGTTCCCGAGGAGCATGACGGCGCCGAAACTTTGGAACCAATACGAGGCGAACTTTTCGTACGACATGGGCTCCGTCATGGGGTAGGTGTCGCCGCCCTCGATCTCCTTGTTCAGCTGGTCGGCGAGGTAGCGCAGTAGCGAGGGCGGGACCTGGTGCTGGGAAGCAAAGGGCAGCACGGTAGCGGCCGTTTGGCGGTCACGGAGGAGCACTTGACGGGGCACGAGCTCCGGGGGTAAGGATGGGGCTTTGGTTGGATCTGGATAAGGGGGTGCGCCCGAGACCCGGTAGATGGTCGGGGTGTCGGGGTCATCCATCATGGCCGGCATGGCGAAATATCGAATAGATGTTCGGCCCTTCGAACTCGGAGTGAAGGGGAGAAGATGGCGAGAACGGGGTTTTGTCTCAGGTAGACAGACCCAGAGTCCGACGATATCGGGGTTGGGTCAAAGGAGCTTGCTGGTTTGTGATGAGATGCGTCAGAGATCCAGATTGCAACAATAGACGCTCAACAAGTCATGCGTCGATACTGTCAATGTCGTAGCAGATAACAACATGTTGTGGTTGTATTGATGAGTTGTCCTGGTGTCTTCATTTCCGACTTTCTTTCCTCATATCTCCGTAGTCTGTTCATGTTCTCTCTCATGCACAAGTTGGGGAGCATAAGAGATCATAACAATGTCACAAGATAAGGACCTACAATAAGAAGCGAGCATCAGCCCGTATATAACATCCAGTCCTCCCACAATGATGGGATCCGGCGTTTCGTTGGACGGGCGCTGTCCAATGTCTCGTCCTCCGGGGATTCCGGGGTTCGGAGCCGAGACTCGGGGTCTACAGCGGGCTACCCTCGGCTACAGCGGGTCGCTGCCGAACCTGGCGGCCGATGAGTGGACGAGAGGTGATAGGCCGGGGGTTGGGGGCACGGACAGACCCAAGGAAGAAGGGAAGGGAAAGGGACAAATGAACAAATGAATCGAAGCCGCTGTGCTGAAAAGTGCGTTGGTGATGCGTTTCTCAAACTTGGGGAAGGGAAATTCGCCCTTGCGCAGTTTTCAACATGAGGCTTTTTTGGAGGCGTGCGGATACACTATTGCTGTTAGATGCCCACAGCCACCTTATCGGGGTGTGACTTGCGTTATTTCTGTAAACGGATGGGGTACTTCCGACCGATGTATCCACATCGATTTCCCCTCCTTTTACCTTACCTTATAGTTAGACATTCCCGTAGAGTACCTTTTACTCTTCTTGAAAAATGCACATATATATCTTTTGCGTACCTTATTTGTGTGCTGACAGTTATGAGCCCGGCGTTCTAACAAACGAAGCTATTCCGAGAGATCCTGCAGCTTATATGAATAGGCCATCAATTGCGTCAAGTCTGTAGCGGATAGTTTGGTATTGTTGGCTACGTCCGCCTGCTTTATTTAATCGTTTTTCCGCTTTTCAATCAATCATACAATCGCTCCGTCAATCGACAATCAGTTTCCCTGCAGTCCTACTTAGTGAGATGATGGCTTCAGTTGCGGCTGTGCCCACGATGGGCTATACGGTCCTCACCTCACCAAAAGACTGGCGCCCGTGGCTCGAGGCTGTCATGCAGATAGCCTACGCCCACGGAACCGCCGACCTCATCGATCCAGACCTCGAGGAATCCAAAAGACCTCAACGACACGAATCAACAGAACCTCCAGAGCTAGTCGAAGATCCTAACTGGGATCGTAAATTCAAACTGTGGCAGGTCAAAGAGGATCACTATCGTCAGCAACAGCGTGGCCTCGCAGCCCTCCACGACTATATCGCGAAGACCGTTGATCCAACCCTCAAGGATTGGTATACGGGCAAAAAGGAAGTCAAGGATATCCTGATCGCGTTAAAAGACCACACCAACGCTGCCCAGAAGTCACTAATCAAACGACAATGGGAAGAACACATACAAAACGTGCGGCGGATGCCCCACGAGCGTTGGCTTCAGGACTTCATAAAGCTATGCCGAGATTCAGTCACCTATGGCGTCAGAGCCCTCGATAGTAAAGAGGATCAGCTTGACGCGTTTTTCAGGGCTATCGGCACTATAGCTCCCGAATGGTCAGAGGCGCGGTTTGCACAGATTTCGAGGCTTGAGGAGGACCAGCAACCTACTATCGACGCTGTTGTGAACGAATATACGGTTTGGTTGCGGCACAGGCATCCCCACAGGCTTGACAAGAAGCCCATAGCATCATCGTTTTATACGGCGACCTTCCTAGGAAAAGATGAAGATGGTAAGCAACAGCCAGACGATCAGAGCGACGAACAGAAAAAGGGAAAGTAGGCTTCTTCTTCAAAAACAACGTCGGAATGGATCTGCGACTGCGTCAATATGGGAAGGAACGCTCGCCACTGCGCCCCGTGGCAGACCTGCCCAAACGTCAATCCGACGCGCCGCCAAAAAGGGCTTCACGCCCTCGAAGGAGGTGGTGGAACGGTGCGACCGCATTATCAAGTCCTGGGATGAAGATCGCCAAAAGAGATTCCGGGAGGACATCAAAAAGGATGTCGACAAGGCGAAAAAGAAGGCAAAAGAGGCTAAAGCTCAGTCCAAGGAAGCATCCAATTTCGTTGACAATGGGGAAGAGGATTCGGACGATGGCTCTTACGATATGTATTTTGCCTCCAATTTCGTGGGCGAAGAGGTGGATTCAAATGCCTCGGTATACTCGCTCCTGCAGACCAAACAGGTGGTTAGCAGCGACCTTTTCAGTCAGTTTTTGATCGATTCGGGGTCCCCACGGCATATAACCAATCAACGCCACCTGCTCGAAGACTTCAAGCCTACTGCCACTATCGTCAGATTTCAGACAGGTAGTGGTCCCTCTAATCCGGTGGAGGGATACGGCACGCTGCGTCTCCAGGTTGTAGATGCAAAAGGTCAGCCGTATACCCTTGTGCTGAAAAACGTCGCGTTTGTGGAAGGATATCCTACTACCCTGATCGCGACGAGGCGTCTATGGCGCGACCTCAAGGCTGTTTTTGTCACTGGCAGAGATATCTTGGTAATGGACCGACGTACCTGCCTGCCGTTGACTAACGTCAACGACCAATATGCCCTCAAACCAATCGAGGGCTTGCTTCAGAAGCTGCACCAACAACAGCAGCAGAACTCCACGATAAAGGCGTTGCAAGAGGAAAAGCAACGTCAACAACGTCAATCGTGGAGATCTGGGGGGGTGGCTGGAGGTGGTGGTGAAGGATCAAAAACCACCACCAACGCGAAAACCACCGAAAACGCCTCCAAAAGCCAACAGGCTGCTGACCAAGAGGCATCACGTGGAACGGATGCCACGGCCGCGGAAGGCACCGCCGTTGTGCCTGCCGTTGTGCCTGCCGTTGATTTTCCCTATTCAACTGCTGTTTTACCATCTTCAACAACGGTACCAATTTTCCCCTTTTCAACAACCTCTTCTTCAAAAGCAACGCCCGTTTTTACACTCCATCGCCGCCACAAGCACCGGAAGATCCTCCAACGCCCACCCATTTCACAAGGCTATTCAACAGCCCGTTGACCGTTGAATTGATATCTAGGCTCTATTTTACCCTAGATTTACGGCTTCAAATTGAGCAGAACAGTCAGGAT